GTAGTCCTTGGTTTTGTTGAAGGAGAAGTCTTCATCAGGGTTCAGTCCAAGCTGGGAATAAATAACATGGCGGCTGCTTTGGAAAGAAGGTGGCAGTTTATTGAAGAGGAGAGCCAGACAGAAAGATGGCTCTGGAAGAAAAGAGAGAGAGCACATGTAGGGAGTGGGTTTTTATACCCTCTGGAGCAGCAGTTCTCAACCTATGGGTCGCGACCCCATTTGGGGTCGATCGACCATTTCTCGGGGGTCGCCAAACAAGGCGATCCGCCATTTTTCCCCCTCGGGGAGGTGGCGCCGTGCATGGGGGTGCCGCCGCGCATGCGCACCGTGCATGGGGGGCGCCGCGCATGCGTGGCACGTTTGTGTGACGGGGGTCGCCGTCACACAAACGTTGAGAAGCACTGCTCTGGAGCCTTTTGTTTGGAATTGTTCCTGTGGCATGAACTTTGACCTGAGTCTGAGTTTGCCCTTTGGCGTCTGTGGGTTAATCTTATTACGTCCTGTCTTAAGAGTTTGGGTGGGGCGTGTAGATTGTAGGCGTCTTCATCTTCCTAAGCTTCTAGCTGGAGGGCTCTAACCTTCCTGAATGGATTATTACATCGGCATTTCTACACAGCTGGTTTCTGCTTGGGAGAGAGAGACTTGGGGGCGGGGTTGGTTTCTGCCTTTAAATCCTTTAGGGAAATATATTCTGTCTCTTATATTTCCAAAAATATTTATTTCTCGGGGGGGGGGGTTGACTTCCCACAGTTTACAACCACAATTCAGCCCAAAATTCCTGCCCAAAATTCAGCAAGGCAGTTCTTTAGCGAGATGTGCCTCATTTTACAACCTTTTTTTTTTGCAACAGTTAAGTGAATCACTGCAGTTGTTAATTGAATCGTGTGCTCATTAAGCAAGCCTGGTTTCCCCCCCCCCATTGCTGGTCGGAAGCCGGCTGGGAAGGTTACAAATGGTGATCACATGACCCCGAACAGTGCAGCGGTCACAAATGCAGGCCAGCTGCCAATCACCCGAAGTCTAATCGGATGACCACGGAGACGCTACAACGGGTGGTAAATGGGAAAAACGGTCCTGTCACTTTTTTCACTGCTGTTATGATTTGAACGGTCACTAAACGAACGGTGGCAAGTCAAGGGCTATGGTAGTGATGGCGAACCTTTTAGAGACCGAATGCCCCAAAACTGTCCCTGCCCCCGCTCTGCCCCCCATCCCCTGTCCCACCTGCCCACAGGACCACTCACCGCCTCCAGGGCCCGCCCCAGATCGCCCAGGCAGCCCAGCAGTGCCATGGCGGCCACATCCTCTGCCCACGCCCTGCAACATCAACTGTGCACAATGGGGTGTGAGGGCAGAGTCTTGTCTACGCTGCCTGGCTGCCATATCCTTGGCTGTGCTGCTCCGCATGGGCCACGCTCGGGGGCGACTCTCCTTCAGGGGGGCTGCTGGAGAGGAGGGGGTCATGAGGGGAGGCGAGGCTGGGGCAACGGCACGTGTGCCCACAGAGAGGGCTCCGAGTGCCGCCTCTGGCACCCGTGCCATAGGTTCGCCACCACTGGGCTATGGGCATCAAGAAAAGCACACACTCCATTTGCTAAATGTCTCCCTGTAAAATGTGAAATGAAATTTACAGAGAAGGCATCCACTGCTACTTAGTAAACACCTATGGCTCTGTTCTGCTACACTAAAAACCATACTTTTTGCTCCTTAAAACCTTCCCCTTTATAGCAGAAACACTCAAAGGCTTGAAAATTACATCCCTAACCTAACCCCACATAAGCAGACAGGCAGCTGCATCCACTGAATATGAGTCAAGGTTCACACACACTGCTGACTTACTGTATTGCATAAATTGGTATGTTGCACGTCAACTTCTCCAAGGGGGTTCTGTATTGCAGTGTGTGTGTGTGTCTGTTTTAAAAAGCTGCTCTGTTTTGTTATTGTGTCTCTGAATTGCCTGTGCAATGTGGCATCTTGCCCATTGTGTACGTGCGTGGGTTTTGTTCAAAGATACCTATTATATTATGAAGCTCTCCAGCTAATACTTAAAAGTGTCCCGTATTGTTTCTGGGAAATAGTTTATTCACCAGCCTTTGGGATTCGTTTGTTGCCGTTCCTTAGTGTGAAACAAAGAGCTGAATTGTTCTGTTGGCCAAAACGTAGTTAACTGGCAACTCTTGTTTTCTTGATTTCAAATAAGAATGGGGAAGTCTTGGAGGCGCCAGTACGATTTGCACTTGTGGCAATCCTAAGTTGGTTTACTGCCTTTTTGTTGTTGTTCTTCAACAACTCCTGGGTCCAGGGCTGGAATTAACCATGGAAAGAACTGGAGAAGATTCTTGCCTGAGTATAAATTCAGATCAAGTTGTGTTGGGTTAGTTCTTTGCTGCAATCCGAAATATACCTCTTTTACTGGCCCCGTTTAAAAGTTTAAAGTTAAACGGTTTAATGTTAAAGGTATGTTTTCTCGTTCCAACCAGCTACAATTGGGAGACGGGATTATTTTTTCATTTGAAAGATAGCCAGAAGAGCAACTCTCAAACATTACAGACTATAATCTCTATTCATCTCCCTCCAAAACGTTCAATTTTAAACCCAGTTCAAATAAGTATGTTTAGTTTGCCTATTTGCCATGATGATAAAATGGAACTTGTATCTATTTATATAGATGTTTGCGTTCACTTTACAGCATGGTGACTCAGCTGATGGTTGTTGCAAAAATGGTTGTAAGTATGAGTCCAATCACTTGGTGCCTCGACTTATGACCCCAATGACTTGCAACCAAAATTCCAGGCTCCGTTGTGGTCATAAGTAGCTGCTAAATAAGAATTTCTGAGCCAGCCATGCTGAGGGGAAAGGGAGAAGTTTCCAAGTCATATAAGAGTCAAGGTTGCTTTCCCCTGATCTAGGGGGATCCACTGGCCATATAAGAAGGCCTGATCCCTTGATCTAGGGCAGGGGTCTTCAAACTTGTTATGACTCATGGACTTCAACTCCCAGAATTCCTGAGCCAGCCTGGCTCAGCTTGGAAACCTCTCCCTTTCCCCTCAGCATGGCTGGCTCAGGAATTCTGGGAGTTGAAGTCCACGAGTCATAAAAGGGCCAGGTTTGAAGACCCCTGCTGTTAATCTTCGTCCTAGGATAGGGGAAGGCAACCTTGGCTCTTTTATGACTGGTGGATTCAACTCCCAGAATTCCTGAGCCAGCCATGCTGAGGGGAAAGGGAGAGGTTTCCAAGCTGAGCCATGCTGGCTCAGGAATTCTGGGAGTTGAACTCCATGAGTCATAAAAGGGCCAGGTTTGAAGACCCCTGCTCTTAATCTTCATCCTAGGATAGGGGTAGCCATCCTCGGCTCTTTTATGACTCGTGGACTTCGACTCCCAGAATTCCTGAATCAGCATACCCCTGTCCTAGCCCATCTCTGATCGCTTTTAGATTTTCTTATCCATGTCGTAGGGCTGGAATTCATTGCAGACTTCATGTGTCAAAGTTGCTTTTCTAATCATCTTACCTAAAATCCAGCTTTTTGTATTATGATTTCTGAAGGTAGGTAGAAAATAATGACTCTAACCTCACCTGACTCGGGGCTTCCCCTGTTTCCTTAAAGAACAGATGAGGAAATCAGGTCACTGCATTACGCCGTAATATATCTGTCCGTCTTTGAACATGCCCAAAGTGACTCTTTGGTCTGACTCGTACTAAACCAGAATTCCCTTAACTGTGGTTTGTTGAATGATGCTATAACAGTGGTGGCGAACCTATGGCATGCTTGCCAGAGGCGGCACTCAGAGCCCTCTCTGGGGGCATGCACGCCATCGCCCCAGCCCCATCTACCCCCGCGGCCCACTCCTCACCAGCAGCACCCCCAGAGGAGAGTTGTCCCCAGCGCGGCCCATGTGGAGCAGCGCAGCCAAGGACATAGATTCCGCCCTCGTGCTCTGTCGCGCACAGTTGATGCTGCAGGGCGCGGGTGGAGGGCTGGCTGCCATGGCACTGCTGGGCCGCCTGGGCGATCTGCAGTGGGCCGTGGAGGTGGTGGGCGGCCGTGGGCGCAGAGCGGGGGCGGTTTTTGGACACTCAGTCTCTAAAACAGGGCTTTTCAACCAGTGGTACATTGGCCCCTGGCAGGTGGTACGCGGCCATCCTAGCAAAGGGGTAGCGGGGAAGGGAATGAGCTAAACCGGTGGCAGCACCGCACAAGCCTGAGCAAGAGACGGCTGGAGCTGCAGGGCTGTCAGGGCTCAGTGGAAGCGCCAGGATCAGCGCCAGGATCAGCACCAGGATCCAGCTGGAGCACAGCATTGATCCTGGCGCTTCCGCTGAGCCCAGAAGAAGCGCCGATCAGCTGGAATGTTGCAGCATCTCCAGGGTCTTGTGATTTACATTCGGATGCTTGGCAACTGATTCATATTTATGACGGTCACAGTGTCCCAGGGTCATGTGAAATGACCAAAACCTGCTGCAACCACCCAGCAGATGGGGGGGAATAAAAACCAAACACCCCCTCACCCCACCCTCGCTGCCAATCCTCAACAGAAATTCTCACAACAGTGAAAACCTCGGACAGGAGGAAGAGCGCCGCTGGGCGGACAGGCAGGTGTCTTGCTCGGCTGTGGCTTGGGGGGCACTTTTTTCAGTGCCGTTATAACTTCGAACAGTCACTAAGCAAACTGTTGTAAGTCGAGGACTACCTGTACTTTATCACTTTTCATTTTTAGGGGGGAGGGGGTCATCAGGTTTTTGACCCCTTGCTAGGTGACTGGTGGTACTCGGATGTTGCCCTATCCTCAAAGTGGTACAAGGGGTGAAAAGGTTGAAAAGCCCTGCTCTAAAAGGATCGCCATCGCTGCGCTATAAGTTGCAGCTTGCAGAAGGGCAGGACTTTCCACAACCCCAGACATCCCATGATGATTTGTGCTCTGTATAAATCCTAATCTCAGTTTGGATTGCTTAAAAAGAAATGCTGATGGCCTAACTTGCTCCATCCTTGCTATTTCAGGCTTCTCCAAAAGTCCATCGAAGTTCAGAGGAGAAGGAGAAACTCAGGCTACAGAGGGTGAGATGATTCCACTGACTAGCTGGATTCCCTTGCTGACAAGTGAAAGTGTTCAGGCCTTAAGAAGCTATGTGGAAGGCAGCCTTTTTTTCTCTCTCTCTCTCTTTTTATTTTATTTTATTTTTAACCAACAAAACAAAGCAAAACATAACACACATACACACACAGTATATACTCCTCCCCCCCCTTTTTTAACAGCGATTACGTAACGGTAATCTTCTATTATTTACATTTCCCCCCCTTATTCTTCTTTAGAATATTTGTCCTTATTGCCCCGTTGTTTCTTATTTACATTTTTCTTCCTTCCTATTCTACTTCTTACTAAGAATAATTCATATTATTATTATTATACATTATTATACACATATTTTTTGACCTTTTCATATTTATTCTCTATTATTTCTAGTCTCCAACCAGTCATACCACTTGTTCCATGTTATATAGTACTCTGTGTCTTCCTTTTCTTTTATCTCTTTTGTTAATTTGTCCCTCTCAGCACAGTCCAGGATTTTTCTTATCACTTCTTCCTCTGATGGTATATTCTCATTTTTCCAGCACTGTGCATATTCTATTCTTGCTGCCGTTATTATATGTAAAATTAAGTACCATATTTCTTTACTATATTTTCTGTTTAAAATACCCAGCAAAAAGATCTCTGGTTTCCAGTCTACGGGTTGGTCTATTATTTCTTCGATCCATCTTCTTATCTTGGTCCAGTATTTTTTCGCAGCTGTGCATGTCCCCCATAAATGATAATATGCTCCATGTACTTTTTTACATTTCCAGCATGTTGGCGAATTGTTCTGGAACAGTGGTTCTCAACCTTTTTAATGCCGTGACCCCCCAACCGGTCGTAAGTCGAGGACTACTCAACTGGTGCAGCACCGTTTGCAGAATGGGACTTTTTGCGGGCTCAGCAGGGCAGAGACAGCCTGGACAATTCCTATTGGCTTTTGAAAGCCAATAGAATTAGACTCTATTCAAGAGAGTCTATTCTATTGGCTTTCAAAAGCCAATAGAATAAAAGGGAGTTGCACAGCTAAGGAAAAGGGGGGAAAAATGGCGGACTGCGTTGTTTGGCGACCCCTGTGAAATGGTCGTTCGACCCCAAATGGGGTCCCGACTGACAGGTTGAGAACCACTGTTCTGGAACATCTTGGCAAGCTTTGCTGGTGGAAGATGGGAAGGCAGCCTTAAGTGGTTTTAATGACGCTACCTCTTTGGTCATCACCAATGCAGCCTCAGGGGGTGTTTGGGTTTTTTTTTTTTTTTGTAAAGCTTTCATGAAAGCCCATTAAAATTTGAGCTCCTTTAATTACAAGTTATCATCCTGCAGAAGAATTATCTCCGGTTGCTAAGAGATGATGACACATTGCCAGTTACTTTAGCACTCTGGCTGCTGAAGCCCAGAAGCCTGAGGAAGATCTGTTTTTATCAGCAACAGATATTTTCTGTTTATTTGAAGGGCTTGTTCCATAGCATTTTTCAGGCATGCGCATCCCTAATAAATTGCAAATTTTGTCTACCGGAACAGCTCAGCAGACCTACCCACAGGCAGAAAAAGCCCTAGTTTCTATGCCAGCCTCTCCAGCTAGGCCAGAAAAGATCTAAATTCCAAGGAAGACGATATTAAATCAGGTGGAATGTGGCCGGACTTAAAAGGCCTTTTCCATCATCCCATATCTTCCAGGGATTCATGGCTAACATACTACCTTGAAAGATGTTGTTGTTATAACAGCTATTTCTGAACTTGGCAGTATCCAGGGATATTGGGACATCACCTGTTTTAGTCTGTTTGGGGGTTGGCTGTTGTCGTGTTTGGATGATGTGATTGCCAATCAAAGCAAGACACCTGCTAAACCAGGGGTCTTCAAACTTGGCTCTTTTATGACTCGTGGACTTCAACTCCCAGAATTCCTGAGCCAGCCATGCTGAGGGGAAAGGGAGAGGTTTCCAAGCTGAGCCATGCTGGCTCAGGAATTCTGGGAGTTGAAGTCCACGAGTCATGAAGGGACCATAGTTCCTCCATGCTGGCTCAGGAATTCTGGGAGTTGAAGTCCATGCCTCATAAAAGAGCCGAGGTTGCCTACCCCTGGCCTAGATGATAGATAGATAGAGAGAGAGACAGACAGACAGACGGATGATAGATACACCTAGATCAGGGGTCTTCAAACTTGGCTCTTTTATGACTGGTGGACTTCAACTCCCAGAATTCCTGAGCCAGCCTGGCTCAGCTTGGAAACCTCTCCCTTTCCCCTCAACATGGCTGGCTCAGGAATTCTGGGAGTTGAAGTCCACGAGTCATAAAAGAGCCAAGGTTGCCTATCCCTGTCCTAAACTGATTGTGTAAAGAAAAGATCTATGTTTCTATTTGAACATTGCTTCTATTTGAAGCCATCGTTGGGCCTCTTGCTAGAAATGGAAAGAAATGAAGATTTAATTTTGGGATTTGATGACCCGCACTGTTTATGTTTATAGAAACAACTGTGTATTGTTAGTTTTAGAGTAAGAGGTCAATGTATTTTACATCTGTACTGAAGAAAGTTGGGGTTTTTTTTTAAATTTCTTTTCCTCCTTTTTTTTTTTCTTCTTTTGCCCTCCTGGTTTTGCTTGCTTTTTAACCTCTGTTTTGCTTTTTTTGTATTTTATCTTCTGCTGAATACATTTTTTTAAAGCAAGATGCCTCCTTGAGGTTGCTACAGAAACAATGATTTGGGAAGTGAGGGTGGGGTTAGAAGGAGAGGTTGGAATGGGCTTCAGAGTGAAAACTTCCTCCTATGAAAGTGACAGAGTGAAGAATATCTTTAGTGCCAAGGAAGGCAAGGATTGGCTGAACGTTACGCCATGAAACAAAATTTGTAACCCCTTTTAAGTCACTTAATTATTTCTTTGTTTCAATGTTAACAAAGTGACAGTGTTCTTTTGAGTCTTCCAGCTACAATAGCCACGTTACTTCCCACAGCTATAAAAACAGAGAATTTTTTTTAAAAAAATAGCAAACAGGACAGGATTTGAGGGTGGCAACTATGCCTGTGCTTCTTTCAAGATCTCCCGACGTTAATAGAATGTCATTTTAATTTTGAAGGACAGATACTTTAAAAAAGAGGACCGAAGGAATAGGTGAAGCAGAAAGCTGTGTGAGTTTAAACCTTTCCATTGGGTTATGATATAGGGCAGGGGTAGGCAACCTTAGCTCTTTTATGACTCGTGGACTTCAACTCCCAGAATTCCTGAGCTGGCCATGCTGAGGGGAAAGGGAGAGGTTTCCAAGCTGAGCCAGGCTGGCTCAGGAATTCTGGGAGTTGAAGTCCACCAGTCATAAAAGAGCCAAGGTTGCCTATCCCTGGCCTAGATGATAGATAGACAGATAGATGATAGATACACCTAGATCAGGGGTAGGCAACCTTGGCTCTTTTATGACTTGTGGACTTCAACTCCCAGAATTCCTGAGCTGGCCATGCTGAGGGGAAAGGGAGAGGTTTCCAAGCTGAGCCATGCTGGCTCAGGAATTCTGGGAGTTGAAGTCCGCGAGTCATAAAAGAGCCAAGGTTGCCTACCCCTGGTATAGGGTTTCCTGCCTGAGCAGGGGGTTGGACTAGACGACCTCCAAGGCCCCTTCCAACTCTGTTATTCTGTTACCTATCATGTGGAAAGTTTCATTCATTCAATCTATGAATATGCAGGTAATCCCCAACTAATAACCTTTTGTTCAGTGGCCAGAGTTAAAACAGCACTGAATGAAGAGAATTACGTCCGTTCCTCCAAGTTCCCGTCGTTGCACCACCCACACAGTTATGCAAACAAAATTTGGGCCTGGCTGCATTTACGACCCGCCTGCCCCGTCTCCCCCAGCTGACTTGCCTCCTTCATCTGATTTCCCTCCGTTGGGCTCACCATCCTGGTCACGCAGAGGGGAGGAGCTTGGGAAACATATACAGTTAGTTCTCGACTTAACGACCACAACATCAGTTAAGTGAATCACACATTTCTTAAGTCAATCCAGCTTCCTCCACTGACTTGGAAGGCAGCTGGGAAGGTCGCAAATGGTGATCACGTGACCCCAGGATCTTGCAACTGTTATAAACGGATCCCGGTTGCCAAGTACCCAGGTTTTGATGAAGTAACCATGGTTGTAAGTCCGAGGACTGGTGATAAGTCACATTTTTCAGTGCAGTTGTAATACTGAATGGTTGCTAAACAAATAGTTGTAAATGGAGGACTACCTGTAACCCGTTAACACATACTGCTTGACTGTGGGGACATGACAGTGTCAAGAATATCTCCTTAAAGACTTTTCTGGTTTTTTGTTTTTTTTTAAGGACCAAGAACGTGCAGAAAAACTTCAGAAGCTGCAAGCTGAGCAGGAGGAGAAGAGACAACTGAAAAAGGAAGCCAAAGCTGCCAGAGAACGTGCCCGCGAGGAGGCGAAGAGGAAGAAAGAAGAAGAGAAGGAGCTGAAGGATAAAGAAAGGAGAGAGAAAAAGGAGAAAGACGAAAAGGAGAAAGCTGAAAAACAACGAGCAAAAGAAGAAAAACGGAAAGAGAGACAGGAAGCCCTGGAGTAAGTAAATTATCACATGGGACAGTATTTAATATTTATCTCTTACGCCTATGTAGGGGGGTGGGTCTATACCAGTGGTTCTCAACCTTTTTAATGCCGCGACCCCCCCCAACCGGTCGTAAGTCGAGGACTACTCAACCGGTCGTAAGTCGAGGACTACTCAACTGGTGCAGCACCGTTTGCAGAATGGGACTTTTGGCGGGCTCAGCAGGGCAGAGACAGCCTGGACAATTCCTATTGGCTTTTGAAAGCCAAGAGAATTAGACTCTATTCAAGAGAGTCTATTCTATTGGCTTTCAAAAGCCAATAGAATAAAAGGGAGTAGCACAGCTAAGGAAAAGGGGGGGAAATGGCGGACTGCGTTGTTTGGTGACCCCCGTGAAATGGTCGTTCGACCCCAAATGGGGTCCTGACCCACAGGTTGAGAACCACTGTTCTATACATATGTTGTATATAGTATGTTTAGGTGTGTGTCATGTATGTGTTTCACTTTGAGAGCAGCGGGCAACTAAATTTCATTTTTGATGTGTGCCGTTGTGCCCACAGTAAAAAAATGACAATAAAGATTATCTTATCTGATATGCTGGGTTTCTGCTACCTGGACTTGGCTGCTGTTTTCTCTTGATAGGATCGTATTCTACTGATTGGCTGCTTTGCTTTAATGCTGATCTTCCTTCTTTCCTTCCTTCCTTCCTTCCTTCCTTCCTTCCTTCCTTCCTTCCTTCCTTCCTTCCTTCCTTCCTTCCTTCCTATCTCACCCACATGATCTGTGCTCCATTGCAATTTGCTATCCAGTTATGGATATTTTCAAGGATGCCTTTTGGACTTCTTGATCGTAAAATGGATTTGAATTAGAAATTCAGATGGAAGCTTTTCCCACAAAAAGTGCCTTTTAAACAAAGGATCTGCGAAATGTTCCTGGACTGGAACACCCTTATCCCGTGTTTTGGGGCCTGGAGACTATCTGAGTCATGTTTGAATGCTCCCGATGCTGTTTTTTTTTTTTTTTGTAAACCCGGACTATATTTTCCTAAACCTGGGTTTTATTTTTGAAGGGCAAAATTAGAAGAGAAAAGAAAAAAAGAAGAAGAAAAACGCTTAAAAGAGGAAGAGAAGGTAAAAACAGCAGCACTTTTTTGGGGGGTTGTTCTATTTCAGCAAGAATGCAGAGCTCAAAAGACGTGCTTTTGACATCACACAATGTTTGCCTTCTCTGTGTTAAAGGAGGCTTTGTCTGCAGTAAGGTTCTTCATCTTCATCATGGTATAGGGTTTCCTGCCTGAGCAGGGGGTTGGACTAGATCAGTGGTTCTCAACCTTTTTAATGCCGTGAACCTCCCCCCAACCGATTGTAAGTCGAGGACTACTCAACTGGTGCAGCACCGTTTGCAGAATGGGACTTTTGGCGGGCTCAGCAGGGCAGAGACAGCCTGGACAATTCCTATGGGCTTTTGAAAGCCAATAGAATTAGGCTCTATTCAAGAGCGTCTATTCTATTGGCTTTCAAAAGCCAATAGAATAAAAGGGAGTAGCACAGCTAAGGACAAGGGGGGGGGGGGAAATGGCGGACTGCGTTGTTTGGTGACCCCCGTGAAATGGCCGTTTGGCCCCAAATGGGGTCCCGACCCACAGGTTGAGAACCACTGGACTAGACGACCTCCAAGGTCCCTTCCAACTTTATTATTATTATTATCATCATCATCATCTTATGGATGGTAACTTATAATCTCGTCAATTTTCTGATTCTAGCGCCTCAAAGCAGAAAAGGCAGAAATCACCCGGTTCTTTCAAAAACCAAAAACCCAGCCTGCTCCAAAAGTAAGTCTTCTCATCATTTTTGTATACCGTTGAGGTGTTCAAAGCTATTAGTGTTTTTCCTGGCTAATACCATAAAAATACCTGAATTAGAAGGTCGTCATGAGGTTTGGGAACGACTTTGCTTTGAGCAGCAAAATGCTGGCCTTAGAATGGTAATATATTTCAGGGTGGAGGTTCATTCTCCGAGCTTTTGTGGGTTGGTTTCTGAACGTTTCGCTACCAGGCTAGGTAACATCTTCAGCGGAGTGTGGAGGGTGTCAAGGTCGGTGTTTTTCTGTTTACAAGGGCTTCAGGTATGGGTATGTAGCATATTTTTTTTCCGAAGGGTGTGGTTTTTCTGGGCTTCAAAGATGAAACGTCCCTCTCAGGTTACGAACAGCGTGATAAAAGTTTGGCCTCTCGTTTTCAGACTCTCGCGGGCTGGTGTGGAAAGTTTGCTCCCTTTGAGATCAAGGAGAACATGGTCCTCGCTCCGCTTTGCCGGGTGCCCTTTGATCAGGACCTCTTCGACCGAGTAGACCGGTCCGTGCAAGAGCAGAGCGGCGACTCTTCTTTCTTGGAAGAACTGAAGGGTCGGGATCCTAGGAAATCGGAGCCCACCCTTGTCGGCAGCCCCGATGCTGACGGGATTAATAGGTGAGTTAACCTTCGTGGGAAGGAGGTCCATCCTAGGACAGACGTGGCTTTAGCACAGTGGTTCTCAACCTTTGGGTCGGGACCCCATTTGGGGTCGAACGACCATTTCACGGGGGTCGCCAAACAACGCAGTCCACCATTTTTTCCCCCTTTTCCTTGGCTGTGCTACTCCCTTTTATTCTATTGGCTTTTGAAAGCCAATAGAATAGACTCTCTTGAATAGAGTCTACTTCTATTGGCTTTCAAAAGCCAATAGGAATTGTCTAGGCTGTCTCTGCCCTGCTGAGCCCGCCAAAAGTCCCATTCTGCAAACGGTGCTGCACCAGTTGAGTAGTCCTCGACGTACGACTGGTTGAGTAGTCCTCGACTTAACGACCGGTTGGGGGTCGCAGCATTAAAAAGGTTGAGAACTATTGCTTTAGCAAAACACTTGGGATAAAAATAATGGTTCAAGAACAGAAGGACAATAGCAATCGCACTTAGACTTATCGTATATACCGTTTCACAGAGCTTTACAGCCCTCTCTAAATAGTTTGCTAAATCAGCCTATTGGCCCCTAACAATCTGGATCCTTCTTTTTACCAGCCTCAGAAGGATGGAAGGCTGAGTCAACCTTGAGCCGGTCAGGATCGAACTGCTGGCAGTGAGCAGAGTCAGCTTGCAATGCTGCATTCTAACCACTGGGAAGGAAGGGAAGGAAGGAAGGAAGGAAGGAAGGAAGGAAGGAAGGAAGGAAGGAAGGAAGGAAGGAAGGAAGGTTAATAGCAATAGCACATAGACTTATATACCCCTTCACAGTGCTTTACAGCCCTCTCTAAATAGTTTACTAAGTCAGTCTATTGTTGCCCCCACAACAATCTGGGTCCTCATTTTATCCACCTCGGAAGGAGAGAAGGCTGAGTCCACCTTAAGCTGGTCAGGATCGAGCTGCTGGCAGTGGGCAGAGTCAGCCTTCAATGCTGCATTCTAACCACTGGGAGGAAAGGAAGGAAGGAAGGAAGGAAGGAAGGAAGGAAGGAAGGAAGGAAGGAAGGAAGGAAGGAAGGAAGGTTAATAGCAATAGCACATCGAGCTGCTGGCAGTGGGCAGAGTCAGCCTGCAATGCTGCATTCTAACCCTACCTTCTCTGCGCCACCAGATAAGCGCTCCTGGGATTTAAGGAGGGTGTCAACGCTGCAAATCTTGTATATTCTTGCTTTTGACAATATGCAGAATTGTCTGGTAATTATGGGGTTAATACAGAGCAGAAGGTGGGGGGGTTTGGGGGTAAAGCCCCGGAAAGAAAGAGGAAGAAAACCTTTGACCTTCACACTAATTGGATAATGTGAGATATGACAGGCTAATTTAGGGAGGGAACATGCTGATAATTGAACTGCTCAGAGGAAGAGAACTTAGATCCTAGCATCCCTCCGTTGTGCCTGTGCCGGACATTTTGTAACAAGAAAAGACTTTTAGGAAAATCAATGCCTGGAAGTTCTTTGGAATGTTTCATTAGCTGGAACCACAACAGAGGGTGAGGTCTCCACCACTTCCTCCTCAAAGGGGCTCCACCCCAGCCACTCTCTTAACTCCACCCCCAACTTCAGTTGCTGGTTCCACCCCAGGCCGTGATGCTTCGGGTGGAAAGGCCAGCCAGGAGACCTGCTGCCTTCTCCGACTGGAGCGTCACGGCTTCTCTAACCTGACACAAATGAATAGCGGCAGCACGAAGACTTATATACCGCTTCACACTGCTTTACAGCCCTCTCTGAGCGGTTTACAGAGTCAGCCTCTTGCCCCCCAACAATCTGGGTCCTCATTTTACCGACCTCGGAAGAGTGCCTGACATTTTATGCGTCCAGTATAGAAAGCTCCAGTTCTCTTCCCCTCTCACTGGTCTCCCACCCCTTCCCCATTTCTCTTTGATCTGGAGCGCTTTGCAGGACACAGCTTCCTTAACGTTCGCTGTCTCTTTTTTTTTTAATCTGTGACGTTCACCGTTTCAATTTTAATTGGAGCCTCTCCAAAGCAGTGTTTCTCAACCTTGACCATTTTAAGGCGTGTGGACTTCAACTCCCAGAATTCCACAGCCAGCATTGCTGGCTGTGGAATTCTGGGAGTTGAAGTCCACACGCCTTAAAATGGTCAAGGTTGAGAAACACTGCTCTAAAGAAACGGACAAAAGTCACTTTCTTGTTAGTCAAGCATTATCATCATATTGTGTTTCTCTGAAAAATAAGATTGGGTCTTATATTCATTTTTGCTCCCAAAATACACATTAGGCCTTATTTTCTGGTTAGGGCTTATATTTTGGGAAAATACGATACTAAATACGTCCGTCTGGCTGATAATCTGAACTGGGGCTTATTTTGGGGGTGGTGCCTTATATTACGAGCATCCTGAAAAAAATCATGCTGGGGTATATTTTCCGGCTGGGTCTTATTTTCAGGGAAATACGGCAGCACTAATTAGGAACTTGGTTTTAATGGAGCACAAGGGCGACTTTCAGCTCCCCTTCCCCCCCCTTGCCCCCTTCTCCCTCCAACTGGAACCCCAGGGGGCAACTTCCAAGGCTGAGCACGCTGTTTTTCGGTTCAACAGCGATGTCGTTATTGTGGGTAGCAGCCAGGCAGAAGATGTGCCTGAAAGGAAGAAATTTGGAAGAATGAAGTTACTGCAGTTCTGTGAGAATCATCGGCCTGCCTACTGGGGCACGTGGAACAAGAGGTCTTCCTCAATAAGGCCCAGAAACCCTTGGGCCAAAGATATGGTAAGCTCGGAACATTACATCCCTTAGGGCAGGGGTAGGCAACCTTGGCCCTTTTATGACTGGTGGACTTCAACTCCCGGAATTCCTGAGCCAGCCATGCTGAGGGGAAAGGGAGAGGTTTCCAAGCTGAGCCATGCTGGCTCTGGAATTCTGGGAATTGAAGTCCACGAGTCATAAAAGGGCCAAGGTTGCCTATCTCTGATCTAGGTGTATCTATCATCTGTCTGTCTGTCAATCATCTAGGTCAGGGATAGGGAACCTTGGCTCTATCTATTTATCTATCTATCTATCTATCTATCTATCTATCTATCTATCTATCTATCTATCTATCTATCATCTAGGATAGGGGTAGGCAACCTTGGCTCTTTTATGACTCATGGACCAACTCCCAGAATTCCTGAGCCAGCCTGGCTCAGCTTGGAAACCTCTCCCTTTCCACTCAGCGTGGCTGGCTCAGGAATTCTGGGAGTTGAAGTCCACCAGTCATAAAAGCCAAGGTTGCCTATCCCTGCCTTATATTCTTCATACAGGTTAAAAGGCCGCTGGGGCCAAGGGGATATTAATGGAAGGAGAGTAAATCTTATGTGGAAAGAAAGCATCCCAAGCTAGCTGGGGAATTCTGGGAGTTGAAGCGCACAAGTCTTAAAGTTGCTACATTTGGAGAACCCCGGTCTGGGCATCTTGCACTATAGCAGCAGATTGAATAACAATAAACAGAGTTGGAAGGGACCTCGGAGGTCATCTAGTCCAACCCCCTGCTCAAGGTTCAGGAAACCCTACACCGTTTCAGACAAACGGTTCTCCGGCGTCTTCTTAAAAGCCTCCAATAATGGAGCGGCCACAACTTCTGGTGACAAGCCGTTCCACTGGTTGATTGTTCTAATAGTCAGGAAGTTTCTCCTTAGTTCCAGGTTGGTTAGTTTCCATCCATTGTTTCTTGTCCTGCCTTCAGCTGCTTTGGAGAATAGGTGGACCCCCCATCTTTTGGGGGGCAGCCCCTCAAATATTGGGGTTTACTGGCTTCTAGGATCCTTTTCAGCTCTTCTGTGTTTCTACTTTGTCGTTAATACTGTTTTCAGCCAACGTCTCTCCCCACCCCCTTTGGCCAGCCCTTGAAGCCCTCTTGCTGAGCTTCCACTGTCTTGCTTCTTTCTTGCAGAAGCTGCTGGACTATGAAGTGGAGAGCGATGAAGAGTGGGAGGAGGAGGAGCCGGGCGAGTCCCTCTCTCACAGCGAAGGGGTAAGTGCTTCTTCGAAGAGAAGAAAACTCTCGGGGAGAGAAAGTCACCACCCTACGTTGTCTTTGTGATTGAAACGTTGAAGACAACATTTGGAATCAAACACGGAAATTGGCCATCCACAGCTCCCCTGTCTTGATGCTCTGGAACACGGGTGGGCAATTAATCTTCCCAAGGGGCCACATGTGAAATGGACTGTTGTGGGGGGCTGAACCAATAGGACCCACACAGACTCTCTCTGTCAGGGAGATGGATGGATGGATGGATGGATGGATGGATGGATAGATAGATAGAGATGATAGGTAGGTAGGAGGTAGATAGATAGATAGATAGATAGATAGATAGATAGATAGATAGATAGATAGATAGATATGGATGGGATGGATGGATGGATAGATGATAGATAGATAGATAGATAGATAGATAGATAGATATGGATGATAGATAGATAGATAGATAGATAGATAGATAGATAGATAGATAGATAGATAGATAGATAGATAGATAGATATGGATGGGATGGATGGATGGATGGATAGATGATAGAGATGATAGATAGATAGATAGATATGGATGATAGATAGATAGATAGATAGATAGATAGATAGATAGATAGATAGATAGATAGATAGATAGATAGATATGGATGATAGATAGATAGATAGATAGATAGATAGATAGATAGATAGATAGATAGATAGATAGATAGATATGGATGGGATGGATGGATGGATGGATAGAAGATAGAGATGATAGATAGATAGATAGATAGATAGATAGATAGATAGATAGATAGATAGAGATGGGATGGATGGATGGATGGATGGATAGATGATAGAGATGATAGATAGATAGATAGATAGATAGATAGATAGATAGATAGATAGATAGATAGATAGATAGGGATGGATGGTTGGTGGATGGATGGATGATAGAGATGATAGATAGATAGATAGATAGATAGATAATAGATAGATAGATAGATATGGATGGGATGGATGGATGGATAGATGATAGAGATGATAGATAGATAGATAGATAGATAGATAGATAGATAGATAGATAGATAGATAGATAGATAGAGATGGGATGGATGGATGGATGGATAGATGATAGAGATGATAGGTAGATAGATAGATAGATAGATATGGATGAGATGGATGGATGGATGGATAGATGATAGAGATGATAGATAGATAGATAGATAGATAGATAGATAGATAGATAGATAGATAGATAGATAGGGATGGATGGTTGGTGGATGGATGGATGATAGAGATGATAGATAGATTGATAGATAGATAGATAGATAGATAGATAGATAGATAGATAGATAGATAGATAGATAGATAATAGATAGATAGGGATGGATGGATAGATGGATGGATAGTAGATGGATGGATTATAATGATAGATAGATGGATGGATAGATAGATAGATAGATAGATAGATAGATAGATAGATAGATAGATAGATAGATAGATAGTCAGACAGACAGGGATGGATGGATGGATGGATGGATGATAGGTAGGATAGGTAGGTAGGTAGGTAGATGGATGGATGGATAGATAGGTATGAGCAGTGTGGTGGCCTAGTAGTGAAGACACTCGCCTCTCACTTGGAAGGTCAAGAGTTCAATCCTAGGTAGCAGCAGATGATTTCTCTCCTACAGCACAAAGAAAAAAACACCTGCAGCGAACTCCGTGTGGCATCAGGAAGGATATCCGGCCAGTAAATACTCAGCTCTATCCAGTCACCCTGACTCTAACCTGAATTAAGGATTACAGAATTGTAAAAAGGGGATGGACGGACAGATAGACAGATTACCGTGAGCACAGATTCACAAACATAAATTGAAGAAAATAAATACATAGCAGTTGCTTTTGAAATAAAAACAATGCAGCTGTATTGCGTGCACGGAGTATGTATTTACCTATTGACCTCAAATGACCCAGAGAGGGACAGCCCAAGGGCCAGATGTGGCCCAGGAGCTATAAAACGCCCAGATCTGCTCTGGAAGGAGATGATTGGCGCCGTGTCTAACAGTTATAGCCAGAAAGATTTCTTAACGTTCAATTGTGTCCAGTTATCGGAGGCTGCCGGTGAAGTTCCTGCTTTTTTTCTCAGCAAGGTTTTTTTTTTAGAAGTGGCTTGCCATTGCTTCCTTCCTAGGGCTGAGAGAAAGGGATTGGTTGCCCAGCTGATTTAGTACCTATGGCAGGACTAGAACTCACAGCCTCCTGCTTTCTAGCCTAAGGCCTTAACTGATTCTCCAGCATGGTTAATCTTGACTTGGCATCAAGATCTATTATATCTGGGGGGTGAAAAACACGAATCAAACCAGTTCTGATTTGTGATTTTCCAACTGCTGCTGCCTTGTAATTGGAACCTATCTCTTCCTTCAAGCTCTGATATACCTGAAGGCCGGCACAGACCTCTTGAGAGAGGGGAGGGTGGGGAGGAGAGAAGGGGGAAAGGAGCATCCTTAAATGGGAGAGGTGCATATCTTTCAAAAAACGGCAAATATCAGCAATTCTCTTGACACAACAGATTCCTTTCGCTTCCCAATTCTCTCTTTTTTTCAGCTGAAGTTGTTTGTTAAAAAATGATGCTTTTCCAAACCTGCTTTGTAATCTGCTCCTGTTTTCCTGTCGTTCAGGATGAGGAAGAAGATGGAGGAGAGGAGGAAGATGAGGACGATGGGTTTTTTGTTCCCCATGGATACCTTTCGGAGGACGAAGGCGTGAGTGAAGTAAGTCCCGAAGAGAAGGGGGGATTTTCCTAAGAGGCTGGAAAAATGAGCTATTTAGTAGAGGTTGATCTACTGGTAACAATGTACTAGTCCTCGGGATTGTTGTTATTGCGAAGTCGTGTCCGACCCATCGCGACCCCATGGACAACGTTCCTCCAGGCCTTCCTATCCTCTACCATCTTCTGGAGTCCATTTAAGCTCACATCTTCAGTGACTGCATCCAGCCACCTCCTTCTCTGTCATCCCCTTCTCTTGCCCTCCATCTTTCCCAGCATCAGGCTCTTCTCCAGTGAGTCCTTCCTTCTCATTAGGTGGCCAAAGTACTTGAGTTTCAACTTCAGGATCTGGCCTTCTAAAGAGCAGTCGGGATTGATCTCTTCTAGGACTGACCGGTTTGAACGCCTTGCAGTCCAGGGGACTCGCAAGAGTCTTCCCCAGCACCAGAGTTCAAAGGCCTCAATTCTTTGGCGCTCAGCCCATAATATCGACACTACATAATCAAAGCCAAAAACTGAATTCCTCTCCCCTGGGCACATAGAATCAAAGCACAATTCCCTCCTCCAATTAACAATCATAAATCACATTCCCCAATTAGCTTGAAGTGCAGGCTTCCTCTCCAGCTCTCCAGCCCGCCAGTTTTTTTATCAGCTCTGATGTCAATAACCTTGATTCTCACGCTAGGTTTAGTGTTGTTATGTCTAGCTGGACTCTCCATTCACACACACACACACCCTCTCAGCATCATCTAACTCAGTGTTTCTCAACCTTGACAATTTTAAGGCATGGGGACTTCAACCCCCAGAATTCCACAGCCAGCAATGCTGGCTATGGAATTCTGGGAGTTGAAGTCCCCATGCCTTAAAATTGTCAAGGTTGAGAAACACTGAATTCTAACTCTAAAAGCAGATGGCTACATTTCCATCTGTTGTCAATGCGAAACATCCGATGTTAGCAGCGTTGACACAGCGCTGATTCACTTAACCACTGTGGCAAAAAAAGGTCACAAAGCGAGGCAAAGCCAAGCCCAGTTGCCTTTGGAGAGAAAGCACCTTTGGGACAGCCATGACTTGGAGGATTGAGATTTCCATAACCTGCTAGAGGAGGCTGGCTGAACCTTTAGAATAATCTTTAGCACGTATTAAGTTGTCAATTGAAACCTTTTATTGTTTCGCGAGTCTGGTGCCGCAACGCTCCGCCTCTTCAATCTCCCCTCTCCCCTCCCTCCTTATCCAGGAACGTGATCCCGAAAACCACAAAGCTCGCCAAAAGCTGAAAGCCAAGGAGTGGGACGAGCTGATCACCAAGGGGAAGAGGTTCCGCGTCTTGCAGCCGGTGAAGATCGGCTGCGTTTGGGAAGGCAAGCCGAGCAGCGCCATCAGCGCCGCAGAAATGGGAGTCCTGCAGCAATTTGAAGCTACTTTCCTGGAGTCCGGCTTTGCCGAGGAAGACTTGATCGAGAAAAGCAACAAAAAGAAGACAAAAGACCAGCAAAGTAAGCGGGCGGGTGGGAGGGAGGAAGCAAAGGATGGCGTTTCCTGCCCAGAACAGGGGGTCCTTTGTGGAAAGTGCAGTGACCATGATGATGATGATGAAGAGGAAGAAGTTGGGAGGGACCTCAGAGGTCATCTAGACCAGGGCTTTTCAACCTTTTCACCCATTGTACCATTTTTAGGATATGGCAATATCCAAGTACCACCAATCACCTAGCAAGGTGTCAAAAACCTGATGACCAAAAAAAAAAGGGGGGGGAGTGATAAAGTACAGGTAGTCCTCGACTTACAACAGTTCGCTTAGTGACTGTTCGAGGTTACAATGGCACTGAAAAAAGTGCCCCCCAAGCCACAGCCGAGCAAGATGCCTGCCTGCCCGCCCGGCGGCACTCTTCCTCCTGTCGGAGGTTTTCATTGTTTTGAGCATTTCGTTGAGGACTGGCAGCAGGGGTGGGGTGGGGGTGTTTGCTTTTTATTCCCCCCGTCTGCTGGGTTGTTGCAGCAGGTTTTGGTCACTTCACATGATCCTGGGACACTGTGACCGTCATAAATATGAATCAGTTGCCAAGCATCTGAATGTAAATCACAAGACCCTGGAGATGCTGCAACATTCCAGCTGATTGGTGCTTCTTCAGGGCTCAGCAGAAGCGCCAGGATCAGCGCCGAGCTCCAGCTGGAGCCTGGCGCTGATCCTGGTGCTTCCGCTGAGCCCTGATAGTCCTGCAGCTCCAGCCGTCTCTCGCTCAGGCTTGTGCTGCCACTGGTTCAGCTCATTCCCCTCCCCCGCTACCCCTTTTCTAGGATGGTCGCGTACCACCCGCCAGGTGCCAATGTACCACAGGTGGTATCCGTACCACTGGTTGAAAAACCCTGGACTAGATTATTATTATTATTATTATGGATCATCGCACAGTCAGCCAGATGTTCAGACTGGATTTGGCGTTTTGTCTACCTATTGAGTCCTTACCCAGGACCTGGGATAGGCAGATGTGGAAGTTTGATGGTATTACAGATATCGTCGCAGGATGGAAGCAGTTCCTAATAAGGCCGCCTTTTGCAATTGACTAATAGCGAATTTGTCAATGCCAGTGGTGTTCAAGTGGTGCTCCAGTTGTTTTGGGATTGCACCCAAGGCGCCTATGACTATTGGTACTACCCTGTCTTGCTTTTGCCACAGTCTTTCTATTTCTATTTGTAGGTCTTTGTATTTTGTGATCTTCTCCAGTTCTTTTATCTTCTCCCGGTTCTTTATTATTTATTTATTATTATTTATTTATTATTATTATATATTATATATTATTTATATTATTATTATCATCATCATCAGATAGATAGACAGACAGACAGATAGATGAAGGTAGATAGAGGTAGGTAGATAAGTAGATAGACAGATAAAGAGAAAGAAAAAAGGAAACGAGGGAAGGGAAGGAAGGAATCTACACATGGAAAAGTGAGTGTGGCTGAGATGAAGCCCTTGCCTCTCTTCCTGGGCTGTCCCAGAATGCCTCTTTTAAAAACCCAAACGATTTCCCGTAAAGGCCAGCGATGCTTGTAGGGCTCCAGCAGCCAGGGACGCTGGACCTTGGTGTGACTTAAGATTCTCCTTTCTGCCTCATTGCAGTTCTGGCCCAGCTGCTCCCGCTACTTCACGGCAACGTGAACGGGAGCAAAGTCATCATTCAGGAGTTCCAGGAATGTTGCCGCTTGGGGTTGCTGTCGGAGCCCAGCAGTCCGGAGCCCTCCCTGGGCAGCGGAGATGCCAGCCCCAAGGTCTGCCAAGGGCAGACTCCGGCCTGCGAGAACGCCCTCCCTTCCAAAGCCAGGCTGAAGAGGATCATCTCCGAGAACTCCGTCTACGAGAAGAGGCCCGAGTATCGGATGTGTTGGTACGTCCACTCCGAGGTCCTGAAGAACTTTGGCCAGGAGCACCTGCCCGTGCCCTGTCAGTGGAACTACAATACCCAGGGTCCATCCGTGGCCAGGGAAGAAGCGGGCGGTTTGCAAGGAGGGGCGGCGGCCCAGACCCCCCCAGTCTCCGCAAAACGGAAGTCAACGCAAAGCATGTCGATAACCAAGTTCATGAGGAGACCTGCGGGGACCGAGCAGGTAAGGATGGCCCCTCCCACTTCGCCTTAGCCAGCTGTGCCACCCTCGTCCTTTGCTTCATGTTTTGTTTAGCAATTGTGGAGATTCAGACTCTCAGGCCCAAATTCACTTAGGGTACGGCCATAATTGAGCCTGGTAATTAAGGTTGCAAAGCTAGTCATCATGTAACTGACCAACTTCACAACCTGTCTGTCTGTCTGTCTGTCTTTATCTCTTTATCTTCCTGTATTTATTTATCTATCTCTTTATATCTATCTTTTATTTTTGTCTGTCTGTCTATATACCTGTCTGTGCCTGCCTGCCTATCTATCTATCTATCTATCTATCTATCTATCTATCTATCTATCTATCTATCTATCTTCTACTTTATCTTTTTCTCTTTATCATCTATCTCTATCTATCATCTATCTTCTTTATCTCTTTATCTTCCTGTATTTATTTATCTATCTCTTTATCTCTATCCTTTATTTCTGTCTGTCTGTCTATATACCTATCTGTCTTGTCTGTCTGTCTGTCTGTCTGTGCCTGCCTGCCTGCCTGCCTGCCTATCTATCTTTTTCTTTCTTTCTTTCTTTCTTTCTTTCTTTCTTTCTTTCTTTCTTTCTTTCTTTCTTTCTTTCTTTCTTTCTTTTTCTTTCTTTCTTTCTTTCTTTCTTTCTTTCTCTTTCTTCTATTTTATCTCTTTTTCTCTTTATCATCTATCATCTATCTTTATCTCTTGATCTATCTATCAATCTATCTATCTTCTTTATCTCTTTATCTTCCTGTATTTATTTATCTATCTCTTTATCTCTATATTTAATTCCTGTCTGTCTATATACCTATCTATCTTGTCTATCTGTCTGTGCCTGCCTGCCTGCCTGCCTATCTTTCTTTTTCTTTCTTTCTTTCTTTTTTCTTTCTTCCTTCCTTCCTTCCTTCCTTCCTTCCTTCCTTTCTTCCTATCGATCTTACTATTTTCATTTTATTGTGACAGTCATTAAACGAGCCCAGTTCTCTTAAAAGAAAACCCCTTGTGAAGTTACTTACAGTTCTCAAGTTGCGACCATAATTAAGCTCGGCAATTATGTCATGACAGCTGTCATCGGAACCGACCCAATTTCACAACCTACTTCGGGCACGAAAAACTCCGATCCGGCTTAGCTTCAGCGTAACCGCTTGGCTTTCGTGAAGCGCCCCTTTGCTAACCACGGATTCGAGAGTCTTTTCTTTTCTAACTGACACCCAAGTTTGACAGGCCTCTTTTTTGTTCAAGACCGAAACCGCAGAGATGGATGGATTTCAGGCAGACACGGAGGAAGAGGATGACGACGAATGCATTATTATAGATGTACAGCCAAATCCAGGCAAGCCGGCTGACTCAGGTAGATCCTTGCTTGTTCAAAGGCCCACAGCCAGAGGGGGGAAATCAAGCTGGCTAAACGTCAGTGTTGCGTAAAAATAAATTCATCGGACCCAACTAAGTTGAGAAAGACCTCCACCCAAATTAGTTGAGACCCACTGCTGGCAGTCCCAGAACAGTCATGTGTATTGAACTGCATATTTTAATTTGTATGAAAAGAACCTTCCAGTGATAGTTTCAGGCATCACAATTCCACCCCCTTGCTCCTTTCTTTCGTCTGTATGGAGACTTCAGATAACTACATGAAAGGTAAATAGCTCTCTTTTGTCATGGTAAGGTTCTTTGATGCTATTTACATTCAAAGTCTCTCTTTGATGTTGCAATAAACACATTCAGCTCCTTAGAAGTCTACTGAAGGAAGTGAGGGCCATAAAGCCCCTTTGTTCTCCCCCTTCTCTCCCTCTTATGGCAGAATCCAGAGAAGGCAGAATTGGGAGTTTCTATATTTGATAATTAAAGATGAAATATAATTGGATTCTGACATCCGGCCCCTCTTAAAAATAAGAGAGATCCACCCGCAAGAAAACAAAACCGGTATAAAAGTTAGTTAGGCTTGTTGGGATACTCTGTGTGAAACTTCTTCAATAGCTTCGGGGCTCTGACATGACGTTTATTTTTGCAAAATCCCCCGGCAAGGGTCTCCCTTCCAGGTGGATTAATTCTGTCTTCTTAAGATGCAAAGTGGGATGGGTCCTTACACCGTGGTGGCGTAGTGGTTAGAGTGCGGTACTGCAGGCTACTTCTGCTGACTCCCGACTGCCAGCCGTTTGGCAGTTCGATCCTGACCGGCTCAAGGTGGACTCAGCCTTCCGTCCTTCCCAGGTCGGCAAAACAGATTTTTGCAGGGCAATAAGCTGACTCTGTAAACCACTTTGAAAGGTCTGTAAAGCACCGCGAAGCAGTATATAAGTCTGAAGCAGTATGTAAGCCTAAGTGCTATTGCTATAAACCAGCAGTGTCAGTTTGGTGTGGTGGTCAAAAGAAAACAGGAGGCTGCGAGTTCTGGTCCTGCCTTAGGGATGAAGCCAACTGGCTGTCCTTGGGCCAGTCCCTCTCTCTCAGCCCCCCAAAAGCAGGCAAGGGCCGAACCACTTCCTCAAATCTTGCCAAGAAGCCTGGACATGTAATTAATCCAGGTCAGGGGTCTTCAAACTCGGCCCTTTTATGTGCCTGGCTGAGGAATTCTGGGAGTTGAAGTCCACGAGTCATAAAAGGGCCGAGTTTGAAGACCCCTGGTCCAGGTAGTCACCCGGAATCCAGAGTCACGCAATGCAATAAAGAAAATTGGAAATAAACAAGAAATAAAGTTCAATTCAACTACAATTCAGCTCAAATACATTCAAAGCATGGATGGGATCCTTTTTGTTCTGAGCTGCAACCATCCCTCATCTTTTCAGAAGCTGCTTGCAATATTCAACAAGCAGTGAGGTTAAAAAAAAAAAAAAATGCAACCGCCCGCAAAAGGCAGGAAATTCCTTCAAGGTATAGCGGTTAAGGCATTGACCCACCAGGAAACAGAAGTTCTAGTCCCACATTAGGCCTGAAAGCCAGCTGGGTGATTCTGAGCCAATCACCAGGAGACAGCGAGTTCTAGTTTTGCTTTAGGCATGAAAGCCAGCTGGGTGATTCTGAGCCAATCACCGGGAGACGGTGAGTTCTAGTCCCGCTTTAGACATGAAAGCCAGCTGCGTGATTCAGCCAATCACCGGGAGACTGTGAGTTCTAGTTCTGCTTTATACATGAAAGCCAGCTGGGTGATTCTGAGCCAATCACCGGGAGACAGTGAATTCTAGTTCTGCTTTAGACATGAAAGCCAGCTGGGTAATTCAGCCAATCATCGGGAGACCGTGAGTTCTAGTTCTGCTTTAGGCATGAAAGCCAGCTGGGTGATTCTACACACCATACAAGGCTAGTAAAATAAAAACAGCATCCTCTCTTGGGTTGATCTCCCACATTCATCCTAGAGTTCCCATTTTCACAGTGGGCGCCATGGCAAAGATGCTGGGCTTCCCCCGTCATCCTGCGTGCCTTATAGAAATGGGAAGCCGTTTTTTTTTTTTTTTTTAGTGAAATCCCAAAGGTGCTTTTTTTTTTTTCAGGAGGCACCTGGAACTTTCTTGTTTTTCCTTTAAAGACGTTTCGCTTCTCCTCCCAGAAGCTTCTCCAGCTCTGACTGGATGGTGGAGAAGGGAAGGATTTATACTCCTTGCAGACAGCCGGTCATTTGCATCCTTTTGGAGCAGCGGTTCTCAACCTGTGGGTCGGGACCCCATTTGGGGTCGAACGACCATTTCACGGGGGTCGCCAAACAACGCAGTCCGCCATTTTCCCCCCTTTTCCTTAGCTGTGCTACTCCCTTTTATTCTATTGGCTTTTGAAAGCCAATAGAATAGACTCTCTTGAATAGAGCCTAATTCTATTGGCTTTCAAAAGCCAATAGGAATTGTCCAGGCTGTCTCTGCGCTGCTGAGCCTGCCAAAAGTCCCATTCTGCAAACGGTGCTGCAAGTTGTCTGCAGCGAAGGCGAGCTGTCCGGAAGCTTCCACCCCTCCCTGCTGAGCAACTACAGGGGTTGTAGGGCCAGGGGTGGGAGGTGGGAGGCCGGCGGGTGCAGGGAGGGTTGCTGGCGCGCGTGGGGCCCAGCGGGTGCCTTACCTCCCTTGGGCTGGGCCAGCTGGTGGCCCAGCCGGTGGTCGCCCTGCGCCGTCGCTGCCACTTGCCAGCTATGCCTCGGCCGGTGCAGGGGGCGGCACCACGCATGCACGGCACTCCCGGGCAGGGAAAGTCCTCGACTTACAACCGGTTGGGGGTCGCGGCATTAAAAAGGTTGAGAACCACTGTTTCGGAGAGTCATTGAGGCCACTTGGAGGCTTACCTGTGTCCTCAGGGTTACCTGAGTGGTGCAACTGGCTGTGGAGCCTTCTTGGAACTGCGGAAAGGTAGACTGGAGATCAATGGTGTCGGATCCCTCCCCCTCTGTTGAGGGCGGGCGGTTCAGTTTTGACACAGATGGCCTCTTGGATCCCCCCCTTTCAAACCAGCGGTCCTCTCTGCCCAGGACTACCCCGAGCCCATTTGCACCACCCAGGAGACCCTGAGGACAACAGGTACACCTCCAAGCGGCCACAACGACTCTGTAAAACACGGGTGTCAAACTCACCGTATCACGTGACGTTATACGTCCCGACTTTTTTTGGCATTGCCGGAGCTGGGGTGGGCACGCCCTCCGTATGATGCCACTGCAGTTTGACACCCCTGATCTAAAAGAAGGCAAATGACCGGCTGTCTGCAAGGAGTATAAATCCTTCCACTCCCCACCATCCAGTCAGAACTGAAGAAGCTTCTTGGATGAGAAGCGAAACGTCTTCAAAGAAAAACAAGAAAGTCCAATTGCCATCTTTGGGACAACCTGGATTGAATAAGCCTCTCCATAGACCTCTTGAGTGAAATGTTGTGTGTCTTTGCAGCACCTGGACGGAGGACCCCTGAAGCAGAACCAGCGGCGGCGGCGGGCAGCAACTTCCCCAAGGCCTTTTGATATACACACCCCTACTCTTCCTCTCCCCCCCCCCTTTTGTACGTATGTAGAATTCTTTTAGCTTGCTGTAAAACCCTTTGTGTACCTTTTGTGTGTTTTTTTTTGGGGGGGAGACGAGATACTTGAACATTCTGTGTTCCTTGTAAAGAGAAGACAGCACTTTGTTCTGCTTCGGACTGGTGGAAGCTCAAGACAATATGTTAGAAGGGGGGGGGGCTGTAGGTGAATAAAATATAGGGCATATAATCTCTCTAATAAAAGCATTATTGAGTTTTTGAAGGGCTCTGTAGAGGATGCAGTGGTGTTTTTTTCCTCCCCTCTCCCCCGCCTAGATTGAAAAGTGTGTTTAATCTTTGGTTTATGGCTGCTCATATGAAAATGTCTGCTTCTAAAACAAGAGATTCTTTACACAATCAGTTTAGGACAGGGGTAAGCCACCTTGGCTCTTTTATGATTCGTGGACTTCAACTCCCAGAATTCCTGAGCCAGCCACGCTGAGGGGAAAGGGAGAGGTTTCCAAAGTGATCCATTTTGGCTCAGGAATTCTGGGAGTTGAAGCCCACGAGTCATAAAAGAGCCAAGGTCCCCCACCCCTGCCATAGACCAACTCTACATCTGGTGGAACTACTGGTTTGTACCTTTAGAGCAGGGGTCTTCAAAGTGGGCCCTTTTATGACTTGTGGACTTCAACTCCCAGAATTCCTGAGCCAGCCACGCTGAGGGGAAAGGGAGAGGTTTCCAAGCTGAGTCATGCTGGCTCAGGAATTCTGGGAGTCATGAAGTTCACAAGTTATAAAAGAGCCAAGGTTGCCTAGCCCTGGTGTAGATTTTCCACAAGCATCCTCGGCCACATCCCTCCCCAATCAGGCAGGAAAAAAAAAAGAAGAGCAGTGAGTGAAGAGATCTAATTCAGTCACAGACGTTCTGGTTTACTTCAGCTGTGTTCAAGGAAGCTCTGAATGTTTCAAGCCCTTGGTTTATCTAGCCCTGTGCTGCTCAACCTTGGCCATTTGGAGATAATCTAAATATAATATAAATGGGATAGGGTTTCCTGCCTGAGCAGGGGGTTGGACCAGATGACATCCAAGGTCCCTTCCCACTTTATTATTATTACTTCAGCTTCCAGAATTCCCCAGCCAGTCCTACTGACGTAGGGCATGATTTAGCCTGCTCTGAGATCAAGAGTGATCTTTGCAAAGATGCCGCTGCAAGAAAACCCAGCTCAGAGACTACCCAAGAACCCCCCCCCCCAGTTCTTTTCCTCCTCTCCTTCTCCACTCCCCAACCCCCACACTCCCAAAACTGATGGTATTACTTAGTTGGGTCACAAAAGCATCAAGGACCCCCCCCCCCCCGGTTCTTTTCTTCCTCCTGTAGGCTGCATCAGCAGAGGGAGAGAATCAAGATCACGTGAAGTGTTAATACCACTTTATAAGGCCTCGGTAAGGCCACACTTGGAATCCTGCATCCAGTTTTGGTCACCACGATGTAAAAAAGATGTTGAGACTCTAGAAAGAGTACAGAGAAGAGCAACAAAGATGATCAGGGGACTGGAGGCTAAAACATACAAGCAACGGTTGCTGGAATTGGGTATGTCTGGTTTAATGAAGAGAAGGACGAGGGGGACAGGATAGCCGTGTTCCAATCTCTCGGGCTGCCCCAAAGAAGAGGGGGGTCTACCTATTCTCCAAAGCGCCTGAAGGCAGGACAAGAAGCAACGGATGGAAACTAATCAAGGAGAGAAGCAACCTAGAACTGAGGAAAAACTTCCTGACAGAACAATTAACCAGTGGAACAACCTGCCTCCAGAAGCAGTGAATGCTCCAACACTGGAAGTTTTTAAGAAGAGACTGAACAGCCATTTGTCAGAAATGGTATAGGGTTTCCTGCCTGAGCAGGGGGTTGGGCTAGATGATCTCCAAGGTGCCTTCCAACTTTATTATTATTATATTATTATTATTCTCCTTCTCCACTCCCCAACACTGATGGTATTATCTAGTTGGGTCACAAAAGCACCAAGGATCCCTGCAGTTCGACACGGAGCTTCAAGTATTCCCTTGTATCGACAGAAGACTTGATAGACGAGTCACCAGTGAAGTTCCAGCACCTCGGCCTGTAGCTATTTCGTTTTCTTACTTTATTAAAAGGAGCCGTGGGGGGGGGGTGTCTCAATTCCAGGAACAGAAACCCTGGTTTTTGTGCAACTCTTGGGACTAGCCATTGCAGCCATTAAATAATTAACCAACAACACCCCCCCCCAGCACATACAGCCAATTCGACATTTTAAACCGCTGCCTTTCTTTTAAACGTCATCCAAACGATATTAATTGTACAGTTTTAAACACCTCACACGTTGGTATGAATCTGCTTGAAAAAAGAAAAGACAAGACTTGAATCCAGAAAGAAAAAAAGGTGGGTTTTTTGGGGGTTGGGGGGGGGGGAAGAGAAGGACCACATTTTTTTGCAAGTGACTTTCCACAGGCTGCATTTCAACAGGTTAAGAGTCCACTTTCCACAGAACAAAGGGAGAAGAGGTTAGAAATAAAATAAAATAACCCCCGTTTAATGTGTATCTTTGTATATCGTTAAGAGTGGCATTTATCTCCCCACTGAACTCCGACTGGCCGAAACGAAGACTATTGCAGTGTTTCTCAACCTTGACCATTTTAAGGCATGTGGACTTCAACTCCCAGAATTCCACAGCCAGCATTGCTGGCTGTGGAATTCTGGGAGTTCAAGTCCACATGCCTTAAAATGGTCAAGGTTGAGAAACACTGCTCTATTGGATAAGAGTGGAACCACCAACAAAACCAAAAATGGTTAACCCCAGACTGCTAAAATGGGGTGGTGGGGGTGTGTGCGTGGCTCTACCTTTTAATTTCAGCTACTTGTCCTGCCCCACCACCCCCAGCAGCGTGGAAGAAAAATCTGAACCCAGGTCTAAAGCAGCATCCCTCGTTCCTTGTAGGAACGAGCAGAGGAAGCAGGCAGGAACACGCAAGTCCACAAAAACGGGGCAGAGAGACTCACAATAGCTTGCACTGCTCCGAGGGATTCGCTCCAACAACTGGAAGAAACCCCCTCCCAACGTCAACAGCTGCACAGGATTTTATTTTAAAAAAAATGTGTATTTCTTGCAACAATTCCTGCCCCAAAACAGCCTCTGTAAAAATACTGGAGGGGGAGGCAGGGGGGAAAGCTACGGGATCCTTTACAACTCTTTTCCCACAACCTATAACTTAAAGAGCAGCAAACACGCAGGTCGGCGACTGTAATGTACGTACATTCCTTCTCCCATAAAGCTAACGGCTTATCTATGTCCTAAAACAAAAAAAAAATAAAACCACGTGATTCAGGACCTCGTGCAGGCCTAAAAGTGCTCGGCAAAAACCATGATCGGCCAGCGTAAACCGCGGATTGTTTTTAAGCAAACAACTCTCCCGTTTGCTGGGCCTCGCCCTGATGCCATGCCTCTTTTCCCACCCCAAAAGGTGCTTTGAAGCTAGAAAAAGACCAGCACGATGGAGATCTGTGAAACTTCCCAAAAGAAAAAAAAAGAAAAGAAAATAGAAGCGGCTACGCTGGAAAAATATCCTTTTTTTGCCTTCCCAGGTTGAGCGCTCCGCCTGCCAAGCCTGGGAAAGCCAAAATCGGCTCTTCTCCTGGGTAACTGCCCTCTCGCCAGCCAGCTCAACAGCCGGCTAGGAAAGTCACGTCTGTGTCTCTTTAACGGGCGTAGAAGACCAGGCGCAGAGGGAAGTGGAGAGGCTGGCTTCAGGAGAGTCGGGGAGCACACAGGAAGGAGCCGATCCAACCCCATGGCGCCTTTTATTTTCAGGAGAGCATCTGCACCGTGAGCAGCAGGTCGGGCTTCAGCACGCTTCCCATGTGCTCGCCCCGGGAGGCTTGGATATCCGCCATAACCTCGGCGTCCCAGACGAAGGTCAGCAGCGCGGAGGGCACCTTGGGAAGGAAGAAGGGAGGGGAAAAAAAGAGAAAAAACTTAGCAGGGGTTTTTCGAGGCACCAGCAGGGAACCAGGGAGAGTTAGATTATGGCCGAAAAAGTCATAAAATGGAGCAAGACCCAAGAAATGGAAAAATTTGGCCTCGGTTGTTAAGTCCAGAACAACCTATTATACAACCTTCGGTGGAAAGCGTCTTAAACCAGGGAAATATTCAGAGATGTATCTGCCTTTTTTTTTTAATTGAAAAATTTATGAACTTTTTACAATAAAATACCTCCCCCCCTCCCACCCCCCATGACCCCCCCCTCCTTTCCAGAGCTGAATACAGGGTTAAAAAAACAAACAAAAACAAAAACATACCAGTTAAATGAACATCAATCAACTATACATACATCCAAAAAATTTAAAGTACTTTAATTCCAATACATAGAAACAACAAGTCCAACCATAACATAACAATAAAAAAGAAATGTATCTGCCTTGAAAGTAACCCCTGTAATTAGATTATCACAGAACTTTGTAGGACATAATACAAAATGTCCTATAACATTTAGAGCAGGGGTCTTCAAACTTGCCCTTTTATGACTTGTGGACTTCAACTCCCAGAATTCCTCAGCCAGGCACGCTGGCTGAAGAATTCTGGGAGTTGAAGTCCACAAGTCATAAAAGGGCCAAGTTTGAAGACCCCTGTTTTAGAACATCTGGAAAGAGTGCAGAGAAGAGCAACCAAGACAATCAGGGGACTGGAGGCTAAAACATATAAAGAACGGCTGCTGGAATTGGGTGTGTCTAGTTTAATGAAGAGAAGGATGAGGGGGGACAGGATAGCAATGTTTCCAATATCTCAGGGGCTGCCCCAAAGAAGGGGGAGTCAAGCTATTCTCCAAAGCCCCTGAAGGAAGGACAAGAAGCAACGGGTGGAAACTAATCAAGGAGAGAAGCAACCTGGAACTAAGGAGAAACTTCCTGACAGTTAGAACAATTAATCAGTGGAACAACCTGCCTCCAGAAGCGGTGAATGCTCCAACACTGGAAGTTTTTAAGAAGAGACTGAACAGCCATTTGCCTGAAATGGTATAGGGTTTACTGCCTGAGCAGGGGGTTGGACTAGATGACCTCCGAGGTCCCTTCCATCTCTGTTTATTCTATCAACCTAGACTGGACTTCCAGAAGCCAGCTGGTTCTCCGAATTCAGGTAAATTTAGCTACCGGTTTTCCCGAACTGGTGCGAACCGGCTGAATTCCATCACTGCCTGTAACGCAACTGCCCACCTTGAGAGGGAGTTGAAGCCTCAATTGTTTCAATTCCCACAACTCCAGAGAACAGTTCCGTACAGCGTTAACCTTGTGCACTCTTTTAAGCTTCCTCCTTCCATTATGTATTCAAAATGGACAGTGAATAACCTTTATATGTGACTTATATGTGAGGGTGTAGATCTATACATACGTTGTATACATAGCATGCTTTAAATGTGTGTTATGTATGTGCACCCTTGGAGAGCAAGCAACTAAATTTCATGTTTAATGTGTGCCATTGTGCCCACTGTAAAAAATGGCAATAAAGGTTAATCTCAGAGACTGGACAGCCATTTGTCTGAAATGGTATAGGGTTTCCTGCCTGAGCAGGGGGTTGGACTAGATGACCTCTAAGGTCTCTTCCAACTTTATTATTATTATTATTATTATTATTATTATTATTATTATTATTATTATTATTATTATTATTACTATTATCGATCATCGCACAGTCAGCCAGATGTTCAGACTGGATTTGGCATTTTGTCTACCTATCGAGTCCTTACCCAGGACCTGGGATAGGCAGATTGGATGTTTGATGGTATTACAGATATCGTCGCAGGATGGAAGCAGTTCCTAGTAAGGCCGCCTTTTGCAATTGACTAATAGCGAATTTGTCAATGCCAATGGTGTTCAAGTGGTGCTCCAGTTGTTTTGGGATTGCACCCAAGCAGCCTATGACTATTGGTACTACCCTTGCTTGCTTTTGCCACAGTCTTTCCATTTCTATTTGTAGGTCTTTGTATTTTGTGATCTCCAGTTCTTTCTCGTCTATTTTGCTGTCTCCATAAAAAATATGGTGAGACGCAAATAATAATAATAATAATAATTGCAAAAGGCGGCCTTACTAAGAACTGCTTCCATCCTGTGACGATACCTGTAATACCATCAAACATCCACATCTGCCTATCCCAGGTCCTAGGTAAGGACTCGATAGGTAGACAAAATGCCAAATCCAGTCTGAACATCTGGTTGACTGTGCGATGATCCTTAATGTTGTTGTTATTATTATTATTATTATTAATAATAATTAATCTAATCAGAGACCTCCCCCTCCCTCCAAGGAACCTGGATACTTACCAGTCCACACTCGTTGAGGGCCAGGCCCTCGTCGGCCAGCTTGTGGCCACCGGGGGCCAGCAGCTCAAAGGGCAACCAGTCGTTCTGCAGAGTCTCCCGCACAAACTGGAACAGAGCGGAAACCGGCTCTCGGGCGTAAAACGTCCCTGCAGGGGCGGGAAAAAAAAAAGACGTTTCATCTCCAGCTGCCTTTCGTAGCTTGGATAGGAGCTGTGTTCATTTAACGACTGCAACATCTGCTTAAGGACATCCTAAACAAAAAACCTCGCAAAGTTAGGCACAGGCCCACGGCAAGGACAGATAGTCCCCGGCTTACAACGGTTTGCTTAGCGACCGTTCGAACCTACGACGACCCTGAAAAAAAGTGACTTACGACCGTTTTTCACACTTACAACCTTGGCAGCACACACACACCCCATGATCATGTGATTTACATTCCGGAGGGTGGAAAACGGATTCATATTTATGACGGGGGTCACGTGATTCCCCTTTTATGACCTTCTGACAATGGGGAAAACAGATTGACTTAACGACCATCTTACTAATTTAACCTCTGCAGTGATTCACTTAATAATCGTGACAAGGGAAGCCGTAAAACGGGACAAAACTCGCTTAACAAATGTCTCACTTAGCTACATAAATTTCGGCCTTAGTCGTGGTCGTAAGTCGAGGACTAACTGTAGCTTAACAATCGGCATGACTTAACAACCGTAATTCTGGACTCAATTACGGTCGTTAAGTCGAGGACCATCTGTTAAGTAAGGACTAGACCGTAGAGATCAGTGTGGTTCTTGTTCTGTCCCAGCCTACACATGTCCTTGTTACTTCACAAAGACAACCCCTCTTTTAACAGTAGACTGGAAAATAAACCCTTTTTATTTGAGTTACAGACCTGATAATTGTCCCAGAAAACGAAAACAACACAACACTTTTCCAACACTTTTTCCAAAAGTAAAACGGAGCACGAGTCAAACACAAGTCACAAGCAAAATAAACAGACCACAGTCTGTTGCAACTGGTTGCCTCCAGCAACTGGCCCTACCCACACATTCCCTTTGTTACGCAGCCCCCAAGGCGTGGCTTCTCACTGCTTTCTCCTCTTCCCCTGGAGTCGCCCCATTGCCTCCCTCTGTCCTACTCGTGTGACCTGTCCACGTTTACGAGTGTCTCTGAGGTCTTCCAGCTGTGCTTCCTCCGAGTCCGACTCAGCTTCCCAGCACAGCTGGCTCTCAGCTTGATCACGAGTGGACGGACCAGCCTCTTCATTAGTTTGTAAGTCCTGCACCTCATCAGAGCCTCCCTCCGACTCTGATGGCTCTCCTCCTCTTCCTCCTCCTCCGATTCCCCAGACTCAACTACCGGTATCACAGGCTGGCACGGAATCACAACGGTTCTTCAGGATTTCACATTGGACAGGGCTTTCCAAACTTGGCAACTTTTAAAACTTGTGGACTTCAACTTCCACAATTTCTGGGTGCTCCCGGACTAGGTGCATTGAACACCTGACTCCAGTAAGCCTTCACTCACTGGGGACCGACAACAGGTAATCCTCGACTTATAACTGTTTATTTCGGGACCGATCGAAGTTACAACTACGCAGAAAAAAGTGATTTATGACAGGTTTTCACACTTAACGGCCGTTGCAGCATCCCAGGATCGCATGATCGAAATTCAGAGGCTTGGCAACTGGCTCCTATTTAGGACAGTCGCAGTGACCCAGATCACCTTTTGTGAACTTCTGACAAGCAAAGTCAATGGGGAAGCCGGATTCACTAACAATTGTTAAGAACTGGGATGGCCCAGTGGTTAGAATGCAGTCTTGCAGGCTAATTCTGCATTCCCACAGCCTGGGGTTTGATCCTAACTGACTCAAGGTGGACTCAGCCTTCTGTCCTTCTGAGGTTCGTAAAATGAGGACCCAGATTGTTGGGGGGCCATAGGCTGACTCTGTAAACCGCTTAGACAGGGCTGTAAAGCACTGTGAAGCGGTATATAAGTCTACTGCTATTGCCCTTCCTTCCTTCCTTCAAATGTAGTATTGCAGGCTGATTCTGCCGACTGCCAGCAGTTCAATCCTGACCAGCTCGTGGTTGATTCAGCCTTCCGAGGTCAGTAAAATGAGGACCCAGATAAGCTGACTCTGTAAACCGCTTAGAAAGGGCTGTCTAAAGCACTGTGAAGCGGTATATATTACTCTAAGTGCTACTGCCATCTATCTGTCTGTCTGTCTTCTGCCTATCTACAATATCTGCCTAACACTGCCTATCTATCTGTCTTTCTGTCTATCTGTCTATCTTCTCTCTCTCTCGACAGCCCTGGTGGCGCAGTGGTTAGAATGCAGTCTTTGCAGGCTTACTCTGAATTCCCACTGCCAGCGGTTCAATCCTGACGGGGTCAAGGTTGACTCAGCCTTCCGTGCTTCCAAGGTGGATAAAATGAGGACCCAGATTGTTGGGGGCAAATATGCTGACTCTGTAAACCACTTAGGGAGGGCTGTAAAGTACTGTGAAGCGGTATATAAGTCTGAGTCCTGTTGCTATTGCTAATTGTGACAAGAAAAGTCATAAAAGGGGGCCAAGCTCACTTAAGAACTGCCTTGCTTAGCAGGAATGGATGGATGGATCTATCTGTCTGTCTGTCTTTTATGTTCTGTCTATCTACAAATATCTATCTATCCATCTATCTTCTCTGTCTCTCTCAAGAGCCCTGGTGGCGAAGTGGTTAGAATGCAGCATTGCAGGCAGACTCTGCTCTCCGCCAGCAGTTCGATCCTGACCGGCTCCAGGTTGACTCAGCCTTCTATCCTTCCGAGGTCGGTAAAATGAGGACCCAGATTGTTTGGGGGGGGGGCATAGGGCGTCTCTGTAAACCGCTTAGGGAGCGCTGCAATGCAGTGTGAAGCAGCATGTTGCTACTCTCTTATGAACGGCAGTGATTCGCTTAACAACGTTGGCCAGAAAGGGGGTTAGAATGGGGGCAAAATTCATTTCACACCTGTCCCGCTTAGCAACAGAAATTTTTTCGGGCTGGCTGGTGCTCCTACGTTGAGGACGACCTGTTCCACGCAGCCAACCGCCAGCCCGCCCCCCTTTACCTTGCAGGATGTACCCGTCAGGGAAGCGAACGCGCAGGAGGGTGTAGTTGTATCTGCGCAGCTCCCGTTGCTCCTCCTTCTCTCGCATGGCCTTCGTCCTCAGCATGGAGGCCTTTTCAATCGCTTCTGTCCTTCAGAGAGAAGAGGAGAGGGTCAAGAGGGGAAAGGGCAGATAGGTCCTCGACTTAATAATAATAGTAATAATGAAGTTGGGAGGAACCACTGTCCAACTCAAACTCCCAGCACAGCTGCGTCTCAGCCTGAGCGCGAGTAGAGGGGCCAGGCTCCTCGTCCGACTGTAAGTCTTGGAGCTCCGCAGCGCCTTCCTCTGACTCCGATGTCACTCCAGGCCCCTCCTCCTCTGATTCCCCAGACTCGGCTGCCGGATCCACTGGCTGGCAAGGAATCACGACTCCCGCCGCCAGATCCCAACCGAGGTGGTCGCTCACCGCATCCTCTGCTCCCGTCTCAGCTCCTCCGCCGTGAGGTTGAAGAAGTCGTTCGGCAGCTCGAAGCGAGACGCCTGCGGAGACGGCTTGAACACTCGGAGTTGGCGGTCCAGCTGGGCCCTCACCGGCTCGCCGGTCAGCAGCTGCTCCCTGTGCTCTCTCAGGTCCTCCAGCTTCTCCAAGGCTTCGTCCTTCAGCACGTAGAAGTCCTCCGTGGCCTCTTCTGCAAGAAAAGCAGACGTTGTTTCAGCCTGATGCTACGACTTACGACCGCGGGGGAGCCCACAATTTCCATGGCTTAAGTGAGACAGTTGTTGCTATCTTTTTTTTTTTTTTAAAGAAAGTATTTTATTAATTTTCCAATTTTACATTTAGGTATTTTAAAAAGCCACGTGGTGACCGGGTTACTCAGTCGTTCGATAACAAAATCTTTAGTACAAATCTCAAATGGCAACATCAAATATTTCTTCTCTTGTTCCCTTAACATTGACTGTCTTGTATTCAGGCTAGTCCAATTCTTATTATGTCAACTCAATCAAAACATCATTATTGCATTTATCAATAAATGTTTAGCTAATACGTGTCTTAATTACATTCCATCTCCATAGACAATCCATATCCTGTTATTAATTTCTACCCAATTTTTAGTTTCTCATCAATATTCCAATTTAATCTTTGATATTTATAATTTTCAAGCCTTAGGTAACCAAAATTTCTCTTATCTCCATAATAATAATAATAATAATAATAATAATAAAGTTGGAAGGGACCTTGGAGGTCATCTACTCCAACCTCCTGCTCAGGCAGGAAACCCTATACCATTTCAGACAAATGACTGTCCAGTCTCTTCTTAAAAACGTCCAATGTTGTCTAATATCCAAAATACATTTTATCTATTTGAATATAATCTTGTTCTATTTCCTAAAAGTTATCTATTTCCCATATTAAATCATCTACTTAATAATACAATATCCCCTTTAATAAATCAAAACCATTATGTGTATTACCTGGGTTAATCAATAAATCAAATACACATTCATAATAATTAATTTTCATTTTCCTTTTAGGTCTAATTTTTAAATATTAAACAGATAAAAGCCCTTATTTTCAACTAATTTCCAAGTATTTTAAATCTAACGAGCAGAATTCCCCTTATCTCAACTTCTCCCTTTAACTCTCTAATTAATAACATGAAATCCCCTCTAACAAATCAAAACCCCAATTTTCTTCAGCCTTATTCTGGCTTTCTTCCTTTGCCAACTAGCCTTCCATGTCAGTGCTTTTAGATCACAGTTGTTGCTAACTTTATCCCCATACACAAAACGCAATGCAAGGACTTGTAACCACAAATGAGCCCAAAAGTTCCGTTGCTAATCAGGACAGTCAAGTGAGTTTTGCCCCCATTTTGCGACCTTTCTCGCCACACTTGTTAAGGGAATCCGGCTTTCCCATCCATCCACATGGCTTGTCCGAAGGTCGCCAAAGGGGATCGTGTGACCCCAAAGGGACCCTGCGACACGACGTCGTAAATGCGAGTGTCTGAATTTTGATCACATGACCACGGGGATGCTGCAACGGTCGTGGGTATTTGTGACAGTTGTGGCATCCCAGGGTCGTTTGTGATCACCATCCTGAACTTCCCCAGCCGGCTTGCGACAAAGTAAAGTCCATGGTGGGAAGTCACATTCCCTTCATAACTACGTGATTTGCTTTACAACCGCAGCGATTCACTTAACAGCCGTGGCAGGAAAAAAGTCACAAAATCAGGCACGATCCGCTCAACAACCGCCTTGCGTAGTAATGGAAATTGTGTGATTTTTAAGTCGAGGATTACTTGTACCCCGTGGCTGTTTATGAAAAGACACCCAAAAAGCAGAGAGAGAGGACCAAATGAAGCGCCCTGAAAGAGAGGATAGCCACAGCGATAGCACTTAAGACTTATATACTGCTTCATGGTGCTTTAGAGCCCTCCCTAAGTGGTTTATAGAGTCAGCCTTTTGTCCCCCCCAATTTTATTGACCTCGGAAGGATGGAAGGCTGAGTCAACCTTGAGCCGGTCAGGATCAAACTGCTGGCAGTGGGCAGAGTCGGCCTGCAATAACGTGTTCTAACCACTGTGCCACCAGGGCTCTTGAAATAGATAGATAGATAGATAGATAGATAGATAGATAGATAGATAGACAGACAGACAGACAGACAGAGATAAGATATTGTACAGACAGAAGGTAGAGATAGACAGAGAGATATGATAGATAGACAGAGATAAGATATTGTACAGATAGAAGGTAGAGATAGACAGAGAGAGATGATAGATAGATAGATAGATAGATAGATAGATAGATAGATAGATAGATAGATAGATAGATAGATGATAGTTAGCAATAGCAATACACTTAGACCTATATACCGCTTCACAGTGCTTTACAACCCTCTCTAATCGGTTTACAGAGTCAGCCTGTTGTCCCCAACAATCTAGGTCCTCATTTTACCGACCTCGGAAGGACGGAAAGCTGAGTCAACTAAGCAGGTCAGGATTGAACTCCTGGCGATCAGCAGAATTAGCATGCAATACTGCATTATAACCACTGCGCCACCATAGATAAATGATAAATAAGATAGATAGACAGACAGACAAATAAACAGACATAGATATTGTAGATAGAAGATAGATATATATGAAGATATAGTTATAAATAGCACTTAGACTTATACAATGCTTTACAGCCCTTTCTACGCGGTTTACAGAGTCAGCCTATTGCACCCCCAACAACCTGGGTCCTCATTTTACCGACCTCGGAAGGACGAGTCAACCCTGAGCCAGTCAGGATCAAACTCCTGGCAGTGGGCAGAGTCAGCCTGCACTACTGCATTCTAACCACTGGCCACCATGGATGATGGAACAGGAATAACAGCCAAAGGAATTTCATCAGGGTTAAGGAACACTAGTCCACATGAAGCCTTACCTTGTCCTGCGACATTCAGAGTGACTTTTTCGAACCCAACCGCCTGGAAAAAACTGTCTGCTCCTTCCAGACAGTGGATTCTTTCCTAAAGGGAGAAGAAAACCCCAAACCTCAGAGAAGATTCATGAAGGCTTCTTTTGACTGAGCTTTTTTTTATTTTTTATTATTAAAAGTTTTACAAATGTATTACAATATAATCCCCCCACCACCCCTTCCCCCCCTCCCCAGAGCTGATTACAGGGTAACAAATAAACAAACATAAGCTAACTAACATAAACCAATTATACTATCAATCAAAACCGTAACACACTTTAACTCCTTCTCAAAACAAATATTAACAAATTAAAACAAAAATAATAATATCATTAAAACTATTAATAGTTATCTAAGGCAATACTATTCAGTTTCATATTTCTTTTGAATATAATCAATCCATCTTCTCCAAACCATAATGTATCTTTCTTGTGAATGGTCCTTCAAGTAGGCGGAGATTTTCGCCATTTCTGCTAAATTGTTGTTGTTGTTAATTGTGAAGTCGTATCCGACCCATCGCGACCCCATGGACAACGTTCCTCCAGGCCTTTCTGTCCTCTACCATCTTCTGGAGTCCATTTAAGTTCACACCTACTGCTTCAGTAGCTCCATCCAGCCACCTCATTCTCTGTCGTCCCGTTCTTCTATTGCCCTCAATCTTTCCCAGCATTAGGCCCTTCTCCAGTGAGTCCTTCCTTCTCATTAGGTGGCCAAAGTATTTGAGTTTCAACTTCAGGATCTGGCCTTCTAAAGAGCAGTCGGGGTTCATCTCCTCTAGGACTGACCGGTTTGACCGCCTTGCAGTCCAGGGGACTTGCAGGAGTCTTCTCCAGCACCAGAGTTCAAAGGCCTCCATTCTTTGGCACTCAGCCTTTCTTATGGTCCAACTTTCACAACCATACATTGCAACTGGGAAAACCATGGCCTGAACTATACGCACTTTTGTTGGCAGGGTGATGTCTCTGCTAAATTAGACACCTTAAATATCCATTCTTCCAAAGTAGGCAGTTGAGTTTTTCTTCCAATATTGCCCCACCAATAATCTTGCAGCTGTTATAAGATTCAACATCAAATTGATTTCTTTAACATCAAAATCTACAATAATGCCCAACAAAAATAATTGCTGAGCTTTATCCCAACTTCTACCAGGAAAATAAGAGCTTGAGAGACCAGGATCCTCTTATTTGCTGTGACATCTTTTTTGACCAACAGACAGCAAAAATACAAATTGTTTAGGAGAACCCACAACAACACCAAGCACGGATGGGGAAATACCTGGATGGCAGACACCTTTGGGCCAGGGGCAAGAGCCCTCATCCTGAATGTCTTATTTAAAAAAAAAAAAAATCTCTGAAAACAGGTAGTCCTAGGCTTACGACCACAATGGACCCCAAAATTTCTACCATTAAGCGGAGATATTTCTTCAGCGACTTTTGCCCCGTTTTACGACCTTTCCCACCACGGCTGTGAAGTGGATCACTTGCAGTGGTCGCAAAAGCGGGGTGGTGTCGCACGACTCCCGCGACGGTCCCGCGACCGTCGTAAATACGAGTCAGCTGCAAAGCTTCTAAATTTGTAACGCACCATCGTGGGGGTGCTTGAAAGGTCATCACTGTGAAAAAGGGGTCCCTTTTTCTGTTCCTAGCGTTCACTCTGAATGGCCACTGAACGAACTGTCGTAAGTAGAGGACCACTCGTCCGTAAGAACGCGTCCTGCAGATTTTTTTTTTAATATATATAGAAAGAACTTTCATAGATGTTTCTAACTTCCTCCAGCCGAGAAGAGAATTTAAAGCTGTGTTTCTCAACCTTGGTGGCTTGACGATGGGTGGACTTCAACTCCCAGAATTCCCTGGCCGGGGAATTCTGGGAGTTGATGTCCACCCATCTTCAAGCTGCCATGGCTGAGAAAGACTGGTTTAAAGAACTAACATACAGTCTACCGGTTCAAAATTTTGCACTGTCTTTCTTAACGTGCATAGATACAGTTAAAAATATAAAGGTAACAAGAGTCCCGGCAGACTTTGCTCTGCTACTCGTTGGTGACTCTAGGGGGCGCTGCGCATCTCCGTTTCAGGACTATCGAGCTAGCACTGCCCGAAGATATTTCCGCGTTTCTGTGGCCAGCATGACGTCATGGAGGGCTGTTTGCCTTCCCACTGAAGTGGTACCCATTTATCTACTCATATTTGCCTGCTTTCGAACTGCTGGGTTAGCTGGAGCTGAGGACGGGAGCTCACCCCGTCCAGTGGTGCTCGGGTCTCAAACGGGTCTCAAACGGCTTTCTAGCTGACAAGCCCAGCTTCTTAAACGCTGAGCTGCCAGGCTGTCCCGCTTAGATCAGGGCTTTTCAACCAGTGGTACGGGTACCACCTGCGGTACATTGGCACCTGGCAAGTAGTACACGACCATCCTAGAAAAGTGGTAGCGGGGGAGGGGAATGTGCTGAACCAGTGGCAGCACCGCACAAGCCTGAGCGAGAGACGGCTGGAGCTGCAGGGCTGTTAGGGCTCAGCGGAAGCCCCAGGATCGGTGTCACTTTCCAGCTGATTGGCGCTTCTTTGGGGCTGTCAGGGCTCAGCGGAAGTGTCAGGCTCAGCGTCAGGCTCCAGCTGGACCTCGGCGCTGATCCTGGTGCTTCTGCTGACCCCAGAAGAAGCACCAATCAGCTGGAAAGCAGCACTGACCCTGGTGCTTCTGCTGAGCCCAGAAGAAGTGCCGATCAGCTGGAATGTTGCAGCCTCTCCAGGGTCTTGTGGTTTACATTCAGATGCTTGGCAACTGATTCATATTTATGACGGTCACAATGTCCCAGGGTCATGTGAAGTGACCAAAACCTGCTGCAACCACCCAGCAGACAGGGGGAATAAAAACAAACACCCTCCCACCCCACCCCCACTGACAATCCTCAACAGAAATGCTCACAACCATGAAAACCTCGGACAGGAGGAAGAACACCGCCGGGCGGGCAGGCAGGCGTCTTGCTCGGCTGTGGCTTGGGGGGCACTTTTTTCAGTGCCACTGTAACTTCGAACAGTCACTAAGAGAACTGTTGTAAGTCGAGGACTACCTGTACTTTATCACTTTTTTCTTTTTCTTTTGGTCATCTAGTTTTTGACACCTTGCTAGGCAACTGGTGGTACTCGGATGTTGCCGTATCCTAAAAGTGGTACAATGGGTGAAAAAGTTGAAAAGCCCTGCCTTAGATGACTCCGGTCAAGATGGAAGAAAGGAAGAACTGAAACGGTGGGCCTTTGACCCTTCACCCTCCTGGCTTCGCCCCCTGTCTCTTTTCGTTGGCCGTCGGCCAAAGTGCAACAATCTTCTGCCCCTGTCACTCAAATGACTCTGGAAGGCTTGCCCCCACATCAAGTCACAAAGGGCTAGCTTTGGGTTCTGGTCCTAAAGAGCGGAAGGTCTAAACTCCAGCCAGTTTGGGATCTGCTCAATCCTTCCTTTGTTTTGCAAAACAGCCCTCCGTCAACACGAGAGGGAAAAACAGAACATCCAGAATTGACAGCCGTCGTTCTCCAGAGCAGCGGTTCTCAACCTGTGGGTCGGGACCCCATTTGGGGTCGAACGACCATTTCACGGGGGTCGCCAAACAACGCAGTCCGCCATTTTCCCCCCCTTTTCCTTAGCTGTGCTACTCCCTTTTATTCTATTGGCTTTTGAAAGCCAATAGAATCGACTCTCTTGAATAGAGTCTAATTCTATTGGCTTTCAAAAGCCAATAGGAATTGTCCAGGCTGTCTCTGCCCTGCTGAGCCCGCCAAAAGTCCCATTCTGCAAACGGTGCTGCAAGTTGTCTGCAGCGAAGGCGAGCTGTCTGGAAGTTTCCACCCCTCCCTGCTGAGCAACTACTACAAATGTAAGTAAAAGAGGGCCAGGGGTGGGAGGTGGGAGGCCGGCGGGCGCAGGGAGGGTTGCTGGCACGTGTGGGGCCCGGCGGGTGCCTTACCTCTCTTGGGCTGGGCCAGCTGGTGGCCCAGCCGGTGGTCGCCCTGCGCCATCGCTGTCCCTTGCCAGCTACGCCTCGGCCGGCGCAGGGGGCGGCACCACGCATGCACGGCACTCCCGGGCAGGGAAAGTCCTCGACTTACAACCGGTTGGGTAGTCCTCGACTTACGACCGGTTCGGGGTCGCAGCATTAAAAAGGTTGAGAACCACTGCTCCAGAGGGAACTAGCCCCTGGAATCCTGGCGCCAAAGGTTCAGCTTACCTGGAAAACTCTGTTCTGCACCTTGATTTTTCGATATTTCTCCTCCTCCGGGTGGAGGTGGATATTATCAAGATACCTGGGAAGGAAAAGTAATAAAGCTGTGTGTACGCTGACATTGGCGCATCCCTTGCTTTTAGTGGGGGGTTGGACTAGAACAGGGGTCCCCAACCTGTGGGCTGCGGTCCGGTAATGGGCCGTGGCCTGCTGGCTACTGGGCTGTGGGACAGCCTGGCCACGTATGTGCCCCCCCCCACACGTGCTAGTGTTGCAGCGCACAAAAAAAGGATGCTGTGCCACAGGGTGCAAAAATGGGACGCCGCTGCACCGCGGGGCACGAAAACAGCCCAGCGCCGCGCTGCGGGGTGTGAAAATGGACCGCCACTGCACCTCAGGGCGCAAAAACAGGTGCCACGACGCTGCAGGGCACGGAAACGGGGCACTGTGCCGTGCTTCCCCCTCCCTTTATCTCCGGTCCACGAACCGAGAAAAGTTGGTGACCTCTGGACTAGAAGACCTCCAAGGTTCCTTCCAACTCTGTTATTCCTTGGTCTCCCATTTCTAACCAGGATTGATTACATGATATACGATGGAATCCTTGGTCAGTGCGATTGACGTTTATCAGAAAAGCAGACCAGACTTGGAGTGTCTTATAGAGCAGGGATTCCCCAACCCCTGGGCCGTGGACCTGCCACGGGCTGCGGCATGGCAGAAACTGGGCCACGCAAACAAGTGAAGGTCCACCTGTATTTCCTGCCACCTTCCTTCGTCACAAAAAACCCTCCTGCACAACAGACTTATTTTTTTCCCATTGTGGTCTTGACGCCCCATAGAAATGGGCTGTCCTCTCACCCCATTCTGCAAACATTGGAATCAAGCCACAACGAAAAGCCAGGATGCCCCGCCAAGGAAGGAAGGAAGGAAGGAAGGAAGGAAGGAAGGAAGGAAGGAAGGAAGGAAGGAAGGAAGGAAGGAAGGAAGGAAGGAAAAGTGAGGTTCAGAGGGAAAAAAGAAGGGAAGAAGGGAGGAGGATGTGGGGAGAGAGGAAAGAATAAAGGCAGGAAATCAGGAAGGAAGGAAGGAAGGAAGGAAGGAAGGAAGGAAGGAAGGAAGGAAGGAAGGAAGGAAGGAAGGAAGGAAAAGTGACAGGGAAGTTGGGAGGGAAAAAGGAAGGGAAGAAGGAAGGAGGATGTGGGGAGAGAGGAAAGAATTAAGGCAGGAAGTAAAGAAGGAAGGAAGGAAGGAAGGAAGGAAGGAAGGAAGGAAGGAAGGAAGGAAAAGTGAGGTTCAGAGGGAAAAAGGAAGGGAAGAAGGGAGGAGGATGTGGGGAGAGAGGAAAGAATTAAGGCAGGAAGTAAAGAAGGAAGGAAGGAAGGAAGGAAGGAAGGAAGGAAGGAAGGAAGGAAAAGTGAGGTTCAGAGGGAAAAAGGAAGGGAAGAAGGGAGGAGGATGTGGGGAGAGAGGAAAGAATTAAGGCAGGAAGTGAAAAAGAAGGAAGGAAGGAAGGAAGGAAGGAAGGAAGGAAGGAAGGAAGGAAGGAAGGAAGGAAGGGTGAGGTTCAGAGGGAAAAAGGAAGGAAGGAAGGAAGGAAGGAAGGAAGGAAGGAAGGAAGGAAGGAAGGAAGGAAAAGTAAGGTTCAGAGGGAAAAAGGAAGGGAAGAAGGGAGGAGGATGTGGGGAGAGAGGAAAGAATTAAGGCAGGAAGTGAAAGGAAGAAGGAAGGAAGGAAGGAAGGAAGGAAGGAAGGAAGGAAAAGTGAGGTTCAGAGGGAAAAAGGAAGGAAGGGAAGAAGGGAGGAGGATGTGGGGAGAGAGGAAAGAATTAAGGCAGGAAGTGAAAAGAAGGAAGCGAAGGAAGGAAGGAAGAGAAGGAAGGAAGGAAGGAAGAAGGAAAGGAAGGAAGAAAATGAGGTTCAGAGAAAAAAAGGAAGGGCAGAAGGGAGGAGGCTGTGGGGAGAGAGGAAAGAATTAAGGCAGGAAGTAAAGAAGGAAGGAAGGAAGGAAGGAAGGAAGGAAGGAAGGAAGGAAGGAAAAGTGAGGTTCAGAGGGAAAAAGGAAGGGAAGAAGGGAGGAGGATGTGGGGAGAGAGGAAAGAATTAAGGCAGGAAGTAAAGAAGGAAGGAAGGAAGGAAGGAAGGAAGGAAGGAAGGAAGGAAGGAAAAGTGAGGTTCAGAGGGAAAAAGGAAGGGAAGAAGGGAGGAGGATGTGGGGAGAGAGGAAAGAATTAAGGCAGGAAGTAAAGAAGGAAGGAAGGAAGGAAGGAAGGAAGGAAGGAAGGAAGGGTGAGGTTCAGAGGGAAAAAGGAAGGGAAGAAGGAAGGAGGATGTGGGGAGAGAGGAAAGAATTAAGGCAGGAAGTGAAAAAGAAGGAAGGAAGGAAGGAAGGAAGGAAGGAAGGAAGGAAGGAAGGAAGGAAGGAAGGAAGGGTGAGGTTCAGAGGGAAAAAGGAAGGAAGGAAGGAAGGAAGGAAGGAAGGAAGGAAGGAAGGAAGGAAGGAAGGAAAAGTGAGGTTCAGAGGGAAAAAGGAAGGGAAGAAGGGAGGAGGATGTGGGGAGAGAGGAAAGAATTAAGGCAGGAAGTGAAAAAGAAGGAAGGAAGGAAGGAAGGAAGGAAGGAAGGAAGGGTGAGGTTCAGAGGGAAAAAGGAAGGAAGGAAGGAAGGAAGGAAGGAAGGAAGGAAGGAAGGAAGGAAGGAAGGAAGGAAAAGTGGCAGGTTGGGAGGGAAAGAGGAAGGAAGGAAGGAAGGAAGGAAGGAAGGAAGGAAGGAAGGAAGGAAGGAAGGAAGGAAGGAAGGAAAAGTGGCAGGAGGTTGGGAGGGAAAAAGAAAGGGAAGAAGGGAGGAGGAGGGAAGAGAGGAAAGGCAGGAAGTCAAAAAGGAAGGAAGGAAGGAAAAGTGGCAGGTCGGGAGGGAAAAAGGAAGGAAGGAAAAGTGGCAGGAGGTTGGGAGGGAAAAAGCAATGGAGGATGAGAGGAGGATGTGGGGAGAGAGGAAAGAATGAAGGCAGGAAGTCAAACAGGAAGGAAGGAAGGAAGGAAGGAAGGAAGGAAGGAAGGAAGGGAGGAAGGAGACATTTTGGAAGGGAACAGACCCACAGCACCTACTTTGCGATCGTCTCCACACCGAGTTTGACCTTCTCCCGGTCCCTGTTGAACGTGTGGATCTGCATGATGGAGGCGGCGACGGGATCTCTGGCAGAGTACTAGAGGAAGAGGAAGAGCCGGTGAGACAAGCAGTCGACAAAGATCCCCCCACAATCCTCAGAAGAACAAGCTTCACCTCCAGGATGGCGTTTCTGATCTGCGACTCCCTTCTGTCTTTTCGGATGGTGACGCCGGTCAACGGGCAAGTGAAATAGACGCCCGAGACAGACAAAGAGGAAGGGTCTTCTTCTTCAACATCAAGTAAGGAATTCTAACCAAAAAAAAAAGGAATTAAAATTACAACGACGTCTCTCAAACCACTTTGAGATGGGTGGACTTCGACTCCCAGAATTCCTCAGCCAGCGATGCCAAAAAGAGGGGAGAATTCCTAGCTGAGAGAATTAGAAACCAAGACCGTGGAGAGAAAGGGTTGACTCTTTTGTCCAGTGGGACCACGAGGATGCTGCGACGATCATGAAGCGTGAAAAATAGTCATAAGTCCCTTTTCTTCATGGCTGTTGCAATTTCAAACACTCACTAAACCAGTGTTTCTCAACTTGACAATGCTGGCTGTGGAATTCTGGAAGTTGAAGTCCACATGCCTTAAAATTATCAAGGTTGAGAAACACTGCACTAAATGAAGAGATGTAACACGGGAAGTGTTAGTACCACTTTACAAGGCCTTGGTAAGGCCACACTTGGAATCCTGCATCCAGTTTTGGTCACCACAATGTAAAAAAGAGGTTGAGACTCTAGAAAGAGGGCAGAGAAGAGCAACAAAGAGGATCAGGGGACTGGAGGCTAAAAGTTATAAGGAACGGTTGCTGGAATTGGGTATGTCTAGTTTAACAAAGAGAAGGACGAGAAGGAACATGATAGCAGTCTTCCAGTATCTCAGGGGCTGCCCCAAAAAAGAGGGAGTCAAGCTATTCTCCAAGGCGCCTGAAGGCAGGACAAGAAGCAATGGATGGAAACCAATCAAGGAGAGAAGCAACCTAGAACTAAGGAGGAATTTCCTGACAGTTAGAACAATTAACCAGTGGAACAACTTGCCTCCAGAAGTTGTGAATGCTCCAACATTGGAAGTTTTAAAGAAGAAACTGGACAGCCATTTGTCCGAAATGTTATATAGGGTTTCCTGCCTGAGCAGGGGGTTGGACTAGATGACCTCCAAGGTCCCTTCCAGCTCGGTCATTCTGTTATTCTGTGGACTGCCTGTCTACAGCTTGCAAAACAGTCGTCATGGCCTTCCAGCCTTAATATAGTCCAGGGGTAGGCAACCTTGGCTCTTTTATGACTCGTGGACTTCAACTCCCAGAATTCCTGAGCCAGCATGGCTCAGCTTGGAAACCTCTCCCTTCCCCCTCAGCACGGCTGGCTCAGGAATTCTGGGAGTTGAAGTCCACGAGTCATAAAAGAGCCACGGTTGCCTATCCCTGATATAGTTGCTTCGGATTCTCAGCAGTTGTGCCCACTGTGAGCTGAGGCATTAAGATGCAGGGTTTAAGGCCTGCAAGCTGGCTACCCCTGTCTTCCAGTATTTGAGGGGCTGCCCCAAAGAAGAGGGAGTCAAGCTATTCTCCAAAGGGCCTGAAGGCAGAAGCAACGGATGGAAAATCAACCTGGAGCAGCAGCAGCTCTCTGCTGCTAGAGCAGAGAAGACCTAGCCTTTCCTTGCCACCTGGAGATCTTCCTGCGTATAAAAGAGATGTGTCAATGCTGCTAAACGCATGTTTTTGCACTGACAACAGATGGAAATGCAGCCCTTTCCTTCTTTTTGCTTTTAGAGCTAGATGATGCTAACTCACTGGTGGCGAACCTATGGCACGGGTGCCAGAGGCGGCACTCGGAGCCCTCTCTGTGGGCACGCGTGCTGTTGCCCCAGCCTCACCTCCTCCATGACCCCCTCCTCTCCAATAGCCCCCCTGAAGGAGAGTCGCCTCCAAGCGTGGCCCACGCAGAGCAGCGCAGCCAAGGACATGGCAGCCAGGCAGTGTAGACAAGACTCTGCCCTCACCCCATCGCGCACAGTTGATGCTGCAGGGCGCAGGCAGAGGGCGTGACCACCATCGCATTTCTGGGCTGCCTGGGCGATCTGCGGCAGGCCCTGGAGGCGGTGAGTGGCCCTGCGGGCAGGCGGGGCAAGGGATGGGGGGGCAGGGCAGCGGCGGGGCAGGGGTGGAGTGGGGGCAGGGCCAGTTTTTGGGCACTCGGTCTCTAAAAGGTTCGCCATCACTGGTCTAGCTTGACATAACAACACTGGACCTAGTGTGAGAACCAAGGTTGTTGAAATAAGAGATGATAAGAATTGGCCTGCCCGGAGAGCAGTAAACTAATTGGGGAATGTGATTTATGATGGTTAATTGGAGGAGGGAAGTGTGCTTTGATACTATGTACTCAGGGGAGGGGAATTCAGTTTTTGGCTTGGACTATGTACCTGCCGACGCTATGCTACTCAAATAAAGATTCTTTAAGGTAAACAAGGCCTCAAAGTTCTTTGGAAGAGCTTCATCTGTCGGAACCATGACAAGATGTCTCTTCCCACCGTAGAAGACCTACTCCAGTGGTTCTTCACCTTTTTGAACGAATCGCCCCCTTGAGCCAATGAGGAAGTTGTCATCGCCCCCCTCCCCCAACATAACCTCTCAATCACAACATAGGAAATAATTCTTCGATTTATGCAAACATTTTTTTTGTTTTCTTTAAAATTGTCATCAGGACATATCGATGCAAATAATTTATTTCCAGTCTGTTCCCCATATCTCCCATATTCTGGCCAATGGCGCGTCACTGTATGGGTAGAGGCTGCTGCGCAACGGGCATGAAGGTAAGCGATGCGTATTCACATACATACGGCGTTCTGTACTGAAGCTAGCTGGAGGAACATTTGAAAACACAATTCAATCCACTAAGAGCGAGCGATCTGATGTTTTTGTACGACAGATATACAGCCATTCACTGTACGAAAAAGTCTCAAAAGTGTCCCCAAAACCTCTCACTCCATCGCCCCCATATCGCCCTCTTTTCGTTCCATCGCCCCCCTGAAAAATGAAATCGCCCCCTGGGGGGGGCGATATCGCCCAGGTTAAGAACCACTGTCCTACTCAACCAAGTTAGGCCGTTCTATGGCAGGGCCCATTAAAACTCAGGCATCTCTCAACAGTCTTTTCAAAGGCAGCCACTCCTCCCTCGTTTCCCGTACCTTCTGATCCACAGGGATCCCCTTATCGCTCGCCGCCGCTTCAGCCATAAGCTCCTTTTTCACTGCAGCACAAAAAAAGAGAAACGGGCTGATAAGGAACAGATTCAGAACGGAGGAGGCAAAGGACAGGGAGTCCCCAAGTTACGACCAAATGGGGCGACTGTCAGCGGAGCCGTGTCGGAGTTTGTTAAGCAAATCACGGCGGCGACTGTTTGAGTGAATCCGGTGGTTGTGAAGAAAACCCGGCTTCCCCTGTTGACTTTGCCGGTCAGAAAACAATCGCAGGGCTACACAACACCGCAACCATTGTAAACACACGCCGGGTGCCGAGTGCCCCGATTCCGATCACGCGATCGTGGGGACGCCACGACGAGGGTCGCAAGGGCGAGGACTGATCGCTGAGTCCCTTTTTTCAGTGCCGCTGTTCAACTCTAAACGGCCACTAAAGCGAATCGTTCTACGTCGAGGACTACCTGGACTGGGCAGACCCCGAATTACGACCGCAACCGAGCCCAAAAATTTGTCGTTAAGTGAAAACGTTGGCGAAGTGCGTTTCGCACCGTTTTACGAGTTTTCTTGCCAGTTTTTTTATTAAAAGTTTTAAAGATTTTATACAATATATATCCTAAATCCCTCCCACCCTACCCCCCCTCCCCCACTTCCCAGAGCTGATTACAGGGTTACAAATAAACAATCATAATCTAACTAACGTTACCCAACTATACTAACAATCAAATCCATAACATACTTTAACTCCTTTTCAAGATAAATATTAACAAATTAAAAACAAAAATAATAATATAATTAAACCGTAATACTAAAACTAATATAAATTCGACCATATTAAACTATTAATAATAACCTAAAATTTACTCATAAGCTAGATAATACTTTTTAGTCTCATATTTATTCTGAATATAATCTATCCATCTTCTCCAAACCGAAAGATATCTTTCTTGTGAATAATACTTCAAATAAGCTGAAATTTTTGCCATTTCTGCTAAATTAGACACCTTGAGTATCCATTCTTCCATAGTAGGCAAAGAATCTTTCTTCCAATATTGCCCCACCAATAATCTTGCAGCTGTTATAAGATTCAACATCAAATTAATTTCTTTAACATCAAAATCTACAATTAACACCTAACAAAAATAATTGTGGCATAAACTTTATCTTTCTCTTAAAAATCTTTTGAATGTTCCACCAAATCTTAATCCAAAAAGCTTTTATATTTGTACAAGTCCACCAAACATGAAAATAAGTTGCATCTAAGCTTCCACATGATTTTTAGAAGTTTTCTTGCCAGTTTTTAAGTTAGATCGCTGTGGCGGTTAACTTAGTGACACGGTTCTTATGTGAGTCTGGCTCCCCCCCCCCTCCATTGAGTTTGATTGTCAGAAGGTTGCACAAGGGGATCACGTGAGACAGCAACCGTCTTAAAAACAGGATAGTGGGCAAGCCTCCAAATTTTGATCACGTGACCGTGGGGATGCTGTGACGGTCATAAGTGTGAAAAATGGACTCAAGTCATTTTCTCCAGTGCTGTTAACTTTGAATGGTCACTAAATGAAGTATTGTATTTTCTACACCCTTCCATCGCTACAGAGAAATGGCTTATAAAACAATCTGTACTTCCTTGTATTGAGTGTGTGCATTTCCTACCACTCTCCATCGCTACAGAGAAATGGCTTAAAAAAACGATTTATTCCATCAACCAGGATGAAGGCAGACCAAGGTTTTTGCTCACGACTTCAGAACCAGGTTGTGGAAAGATTTTGAGCGGCTGCCGTCCTGCAGCAGCTGAAATCCTCCAGCTCTGCCGAACATTTTACCCTGATTCCGGATGGCGTCTTGGGACGAGGGAGGACGGGGTTTGGGCTTCTGTTCCAGCCGAGCCAAGGCAGCGGCCGCAGCCATCTGAGCCTCGTTGGTGGGGCCTTGCCGACATTTGGGAGCGTCCGGTTTGGGTTTTTCCTTGGTGGATTTTTCCCTGTTGGAAAACAAAGGGAGAGCGAAGGGAGTCAGAAGATTTGAGGAGCACCCAGGAAAAGGCTGGGAAGCTCTAGCTCAGGGGGTCTTCAAACGTGGCCCCTTCATGACTTGTGGACTTCAACTCCCAGAATTCCTCAGCCAGGCACGCGTCATAAAAGGGCCAAGTTCGAAGACCCCTGCTCTAACTCTATGTATTAGTCTATTATTCTATCCCAGGGGTCTTCAAACTTGGCCCCTTCATGACTTGTGGACTTCAACTCCCCGAATTCCTCAGCCAGCATGGGGGAACTGGCCCCTTCATGACTTGTGGACTTCAACTCCCAGAATTCCTCAGCCAGCATGGGGGAACTGGCCCCTTCATGACTTGTGGACTTCAACTCCCAGAATTCCTCAGCCAGCACGGGGGAACTATGGCCCCTTCATGACTCGTGGACTTCAACTCCCAGAATTCCTCAGCCAGCACGGGGGAACTATGGCCCCTTCATGACTCGTGGACTTCAACTCCCAGAATTCCTCAGCCAGCATGGGAGAACTATGGCCCCTTCATGACTTGCGGACTTCAACTCCCAGAATTCCTCAGCCAGCATGGGGGAACTATGGCCCCTTCATGACTTGCAGACTTCAATTCTCAGAATTCCTCAGCCAGAGGGCCTGGCTGAGGAATGCTGGGAGTTGAAGTCCCCAAGTCATAAAATGGCCATGTTTGAAGACCCCTGTTCTATTTTAAAGAGAGAAAAAGACAAACCTATTCATATAGAGGGGGTAGTCCCAGGCAATTCACAGGACACTTTCCAGGAGCAAATACAAAGAAATGAACCGAAGAGGGGAAGTAACATGGGGGCCTGTGGCTCATTCTGACATACCCAGGCTGAGCAAACAAGCCAATGCAATGTGGCCCCTCTCCAAGCAGCTGTGTTTCCCCCCCCTCCCATGTCACACCTCTCCCGACAGCATCATAAAGGGTCTACTTTTAAATTGTGCAGTCTAGTTTTTAAATTGCTAGCAACCCAGCATGCCAGCTGGATTAAAGATCGACAGTGGTGAATGAAGTTTTTAAGAAGAGACTGGACAAACTTTTGTCCGAAATGGTAGAGTTTCCTTCCTGAGCAGGGGGTTGGACTAGATGACCTCCAAGGTCCCTTCCAACTTTATCATCATCATCATCATCATCATTATTATTATTACTCCTGCTTGAGCAGGGGGTTGGACTAGTCCAGGGCTTTTCAACCTTTTCACCCATTGTACCACTTTTAGGATGTGGCAACATCCAAGTACCACTAGACGCCTAGCAAGGGGTCAAAAACTTGATCAAAAAGAAAGAAAGAAAGAAAGAGTGATAAAGTACAGGTAGTCCTCGACTTACAACAGTTCGCTTACTGTCTGTTTGAAGTTACAATGGCACTGAAAAAAGCGCCCCCCAAGGCACAGCCGAGCAAGGCGCAACGCTCTATCTCCTGTCCGAGGTTTCCATTGTTGTGAGCATTTCTGTTGAGGATTGGCAGCGGGGGTGGGATGGGGGTGTTTGGTTTTTATTCCCCCCTTCTGCTGGGTGATTGCAGCAGGTTTTGGTCACTTCACATGACCCTGAGACACTGTGATTGTCATAAATATAAATCGGTTGCCAAGCATCTGAATGTAAATCACAAGACCCTGGAGATGCTGCAACATTCCAGCTGATCGGCGCTTCTTCTGGGCTCAGCAGAAGCGCCAGGATCAGTGCCGCTTTCCAGCTGGAGCCTGGTGCTGATCCTGGTGCTTCCACTGAGCCCTGACAGCCCCAAAGAAGCACCGATCAGCTGGAAAGCAGCACTGATCCTGATGCTTCCGCTGATCCGTGACAGCCCTGCAGCTCCAGCCGTCTCTCGCTCAGGCTTGTGCGGTGCTGCCACCAGTTCAGCTCGTTCCCCTCCCTGCTACCCCTTTGCTAGGATGGCCGCGTACCACCTGCCAGGTGCCAATGTACCACAGATGGTACCCTTACCACTGGTTGGAAAGCCCTGGACTAGATGACCTCTAAAGTCCCTTCCAACTTTATTATTATTGTTATTATTATTAAAGCTCTGAAATTAAGACTTCTCCTTCATAAGAGACCACCACCGACATAGTTTGGGCTCCTGTATCCCAAAGAGGAAGAGAAGATCGCTCTCTTTTTAAAACAATTGTATTAAAGGTTAGGAAGATAAAGCTACAAAGTTTAACACAAAACAAGGAAAACATAAAATAAATACAAGGAGAACAGACATAATACTTCTCCTTTTTTTCCGCACAACAAAATCCTCTGAGAGCAGAACTGGCTCAGAGTCCTTCACGTGGCTTTCATACCTAAGGTAGGACTAGAACTAACCGTCTCCTGGTGATTGGCCCAAAGTCACCCAGCCGGCTTTTATGCCTAAGGCGGGACTAGAACTCACCATCTCCTGGTGATTGGCACAAGGCCACCCAGCAGGCTTTCATGCCTAAGGCGGGACTAGAACTCACCATCTCCTGGTGATTGGCCCAAGGTCACCCAGCTGGCTTTTATGCTTAAGGTGGGACTAGAACTCACCATCTCCTGGTGATTGGCGCAAGGCCACCCAGCAGGCTTTTATGCCTAAGGCGGGACTAGAACTCACCATCTCCTGGTGATTGGCCCAAGGTCACCCAGCTGGCTTTTATGCTTAAGGTGGGACTAGAACTCACCATCTCCTGGTGATTGGCGCAAGGCCATCCAGCAGGCTTTCATGCCTAAGGCGGGACTAGAACTCACCATCTCCTGGAGATTGGCCCAAGGTCACCCAGCTGGCTTTTATGCCTAAGGCGGGACTAGAACTCACCATCTCCTGGTGATTGGCGCAAGGCCACCCAGCAGGCTTTCATGCCTAAGGCGGGACTAGAACTCACCATCTCCTGGAGATTGGCCCAAGGTCACCCAGCTGGCTTTTATGCCTAAGGCGGGACTAGAACTCACCATCTCCTGGTGATTGGCGCAAGGCCACCCAGCAGGCTTTCATGCCTAAGGCGGGACTAGAACTCACCATCTCCTGGTGATTGGCCCAAGGTCACCCAGCTGGCTTTTATGCTTAATGTGGGACTAGAACTCACCATCTCCTGGTGATTGTCCTGATAGAAATAAAGGAAAGCTCTTCAAAATTTAATATTGAAAGAGAAATTTAAAATTGAACTTGCTGCAGTGGAAATGTACGGAGTAGAGAGAAAACCTATAATATATGGGAACCAGGAAAGGAGAGCATAAAGAGAGGAAGTAAGATAAACACACAGGCAAAATTAGCTGGGTCTTAGAGTGGGAAAGGAAGAAGCAGCTATAAAAAATATAGCTGTAAAAGGAAATGGCTAGTCAGAAGAAAGGCACACTGAATTGAAAATCAGGAAAGAACCTACTGTTCTAAAAGGGGGACATAAATATATACTGAGTTTAAAATAACCATTTAAATGTCTAATTTTTCTTATTATTGTATACGTAAATATGATTTAATATGTGATCAGGAAATGTGTATAAGTGGACGGAAAGAGTGTAACCTCATAGTAGTACCTCAGCCAATGGGGAAAGAGGAGGGATGTAGCGGCCGGTGATAGGGATGAATAAAAGAAGGAGATATTTTGGGTTAAAACTTTGGAGAGAACCAAGCTTTGATAGCTTCTCCCCCCCCCATTATTGCAATAAACAAAACAAAAGGCCTTCACTGTGTCTTGGCTGGTTATTGGTCAGGCGAGCTCGCCTCTAGTTAGGAAGGAAAGTGGCCAGGAGCACATAACAGCCTCAAAGTTTTTTGTATAATTTTTTTTTTGGGGGGGGGTTTGAATACTGCATCCAGTTTTGGTTATAAAACACATTACAAAAAAGGTGTTGAGACTTTGGAAAAAGTGCAGAGAAGAGCAACTAAGACGATTAAAGGCCTGGAGACAAAAACATATGAAGAACGGTTGAAGGATTTGGGTTTGGCCAGTCCTAGAGAAAAGAAGGACGAGGGGGGGACATGATAGCAGTCTTCCAGTATTTGAGGGGCTGCCCCAAAGAAGAGAGCAGTCAAGCTATTTTCCAAAGCACCAGAAGGCAGGACAGGAACTAATGGATGGAAACTGATCAAGGAGAGAAGCAACCTGGAATTAAGGAGAAACTTCCTAACAGGGAAAACAATTAACCAGCTTGGTTTGCCAACAGAGGTTGTGGGTGCTTCATCACTGGAGCTTTTTAAGAAGAGACTGGATAGCCACCTGTTTGAAATGGTATAGGATCTCCTGCTTGAGCAGGGGGCTGGACTAGAAGACCTCCAAAGTCCCTTCCAGCTCTATTCTGATTAAGTCCGCCAAACCATTTGCCTTCCTAAGGTGGGAACAGGCACCTGCTGCCCACGAGGAGTTCAAAAGTGAGAGCAGAGAAGCCCATTCAGAGTTGCAAGATTTGTTACTGTAACCCCATAATAAAAACAACCTGTAGTCCTCCACACTCATTTGCCCCACTCAGGTGACCCTGAGGACACAGACAAACCTCCAAGTGGCCTCAACGACTCCCTAAAAGGAGGCAAATGACCAGCTGTCTGCAAAGGAGTATAAATCCCTCCGTTCCCCACCATCCAGTCAGAGCTGAGGAAGCATCCTGGATGAGTAGTGAAACGTCTTCAAAGCAAAACAAGAAAGTCCAATTGCCTCCTGAAAAAGCACCTTTGGGACTCTTCTTGAACTATTCCCCTTTCCCAAATTCTGTTTTCCCCTCCCTTCTCTGTTGCTTTGATGGCAGCATGCCAGCAAGGCGGCAAGCTGAAAATGGTGGTTCTGACGCATATATGTAAAAAGACACGTGTATATAGCCAGGGTGCATCAAAAAACACTCAAGACATATCTCCTCCCCTGTTTCTTCCCTCCCTGATACAGCTGACAAAGTGAGAAAGAGCCTGTGGCCTAAGGGTCAACACAGCTGCCTAACTGGCAAGCAGCCCAGGTTCAAACCTCAGAAGGGTATGGCTGGCTGATGAGAGCTAATCACTTCAAAACAGCTATCCCAGTCCCCCTTTAACTCTTTGTTAGCAATCCAAAAAATTTTTGCGCATACACACACACACACACACACATCTCTGTAAATTTAGATTTTGCTGACAAAGAGTTAAAAGGGAGACTAGTATAGCTATTTCGAGCTATTTAGCTCTCATCAGCTAGCCATACCCTTCTGAGATTCGAATCTGGGCTACTTGCATGTTAGGCAGCTGTATTAACCTCTAGGCCACAGGTTCGCCTCACTTTTGTCAGCTGAAACCGGGGAGGATACATAGTAAGTTTCTAATAGAACACCTGGTCTACTGTTATGATTACTATATATACATACATACACACACACACACACACACACACACACTTACATTGATCTATGTTATCTATTAGCATTGGGGAGGGAGGGAGATTGTATTTTAATATTTCAAACTTTTCCTTCTAAGGTCTCAGAGATTATCCATCATCCAGGTCATGGTTGTCCCAAAGGTGCTTTTTCCAAAAGGCAATTGGACTTTTTTGGGATGATGATGATGATATTATTATTATTATTATTATTTGAAAACATTTCTCTTCACATACAAGAGGCTTCCTGGATTCAGTTTTTACTTCTCATATTAGCCAGATTAAAGTGTGAGTCATGGGGGGGAAAAAAACACAAATGAGGTCAGGAGCAGAATGAGTGGCAGCTTCCCTTCCTCAGATGCATTTCAAAAAGGGGCCACACAGCCCAATCTGGGTTGCTTCACTGGGTGGTGGAGGGCTGGACTGGATGACCTCAAGGGGGGGGTCTTCCACCCTGCCCTATAAATCCCTCCCCTCCCCTAATCCTTTCTACTCAGTTTCCCCTCCACACCTGTGGTTGGAGGGACCCCAACTCCCAGGACTGGGAAAGGAGCAGGGGAGGCTCTCTATAGAACAGGGGTCTTCGGACTTGGCCCTTTTATGACTTGTGGACTTCAACTCCCAGAATTCCTCAGCCAGGCACGCGTGCCTGGCTGAGGAATTCTGGGAGTTGAAGTCCACAAGTCATAAAAGGGCCAAGTCGAAAGACCCCTGATATAGACTTTAAGAGTGGACTTCAACTCCCAGAATTCCTCAGCCAGCATGCCTGGCTGAGGAATTCTGGGAGTTGAAGTCCACAAGTCAAAAAAAGGCCAAGTCTGAAGACCCTTGCTATAGAAGCCAACCCCCTCCGAGGGCGCCAGGTTGGGGAACCGACCGGGACCTTCCCTCTCTTTAGAATGGGCGGGGCCGTTACCTAGGCGACTCGGCGAGTTTCTGGCCCGGGCCGGCCGTCTTAAACTTCAAATCCGCTTTGATTTCCTGGAAGAACTTCTTCATGGCCGCCTCCCGCCCGCGGCCTCCGAAGCCCACCCGAAACGAGCACAGCCGACCCGGCAAAGGCAAAAGGCGGGCGGGCGGACGGGGAAGTAAATAGCAGGAGCGAAAACAGGAAGCGGAAGCCCGAGAAGAAAAACAAACAATCTAGCTTCCGGTCACATGCCGACGCCGCATCTGACGCCATCTTGACTCGGAGCGGCGATAGGGGGAATGGAAGGGAACCCTCGCGGCGCGTGCGGCACGCTCTGTAAGGCGGAAGTCGCCGACCGAGGGGTGGGGCGGGGTTGTCGATGGACAGGAAGCTTCGCTGATTGGATGGCCTAGAGGCGAATGCGCGGCCGATCACAGATCTAGGGTGACGCTCTAGGCAAGGGGAGGTCCTTCTCTAAGGGTTCTCTCAAAAGCTCATTAAAGAACAGCAAATAAAACGCCGGGCTTGGGTTTTTTTTTTTTTCAATCGTTCCCTTTCTCGTTCTACTTTTATTTGGTAAAATGTCGTTAACGAGTGATGCTAAAACTCAATGAATAATATTAAATAACGTTTGGTATTATGTATTTATGAATGCTTTGCTTCCTAGTTCCCTTTAAATACAACCTTTGGAGCAGGGGAATAAGATTGTGACTGTATATCTATCTAATCTATATCTATACATTTATATGTGTACGTTTATGTTTATGTATTTTAGATAGATAAATAGATTATAGGTAGATAGGTGGATGGATGGACAGATGGATAGATAGATAGATTATAGGTAGGTGGATGGAGGGAGGGATGGATAGATATATAGGTAGGTAGATGTGAAGTAAAGTTATGCTTAAAATCCTACAAGCTAGACTCCAGCAGTATGTGGATCGAGAACTACCAGAAGTACAGGCAGGATTTCGAAGAGGCAGAGGAACTAGAGATCAAATTGCCAACATACGCTGGATCACGGAGAAAGCTAGGGAGTTCCAGAAAGACATCTACTTCTGCTTCATTGACTATGTTAAAGCCTTTGATTGTGTGGATCACAACAAATTGTGGCAAGTTTTTAAAGAGATGGGAGTACCAGACCATCTTATTTGTCTCTTGAGAAACCTATATGCGGGTCAAGAAGCAACAGTGAGAACTGGACACGGAACCACTGATTGGTTCAAAATTGGAAAAGGAGTCCGGCAAGGCTGTATACTGTCGCCCTGCCTATTTAACTTATATGCAGAGCACATCATGAGAAAGGCAGGGCTAGATGAACAAAAGTTGGAATTAAGATTGCCGGGAGAAATATCAACAACCTAAGATATGCAGATGATACCACTCTAATGGCAGAAAGTGAAGAGGAACTAAAGAGCCTCTTGATGCGGGTGAAGAAGGAGAGTGCAAAAGTTGGCTTGAAACTCAACATTAAGAAAACCAAAATCATGGCATCGGCCCTCTCAATTCCTGGCAAATAGATGGGGAAGAAATGGAGGTAGTGACAGATTTTATTTTTCTGGGCTCCAAGATCACCTCAGATGGGGACTGCAGCCAAGAAATTAAAAGACGCTTGCTCCTGGGGAGGAAAGCTATGGCAAATCTAGACAGCATACTAAAAAGCAGAGACATCACCCTGCCAACAAAAGTGCGTATAGTCCAGGCCATGGTTTTCCCAGTTGCAATGTATGGCTGTGAAAGTTGGACCATAAGAAAGGCTGAGCGCCAAAGAATTGAGGCCTTTGAACTATGGTGCTGGAGAAGACTCCTGCGAGTCCCTTGGACTGCAAGGCGTTCAAACCGGTCAGTCCTAGAAGAGATCAACCCCGACTGCTCTTTAGAAGGCCAGATCCTGAAGTTGAAACTCAAATACTTTGGCCACTAATGAGAAGGAAGGACTCACTGGAGAAGGGCCTAATGCTGGGAAAGATTGAGGGCAATAGAAGAAGGGGACGACAGAGAATGAGATGGCTGGATGGAGTCACTGAAGCAGTAGGTGTGAACTTAAATGGACTCCAGAAGGTGGTAGAGGACAGGAAGACCTGGAGGAACATTGTCCATGGGGTCGCGATGGGTCGGACACGACTTCGCAATTAACAACAACAAAGATGGATGGATGGAGATTATTGGTAGATAGATAGATAGACCAGATGATTGATAGATAGATAGATTATAGCTAGCTAGCTAGCTAGCTAGCTAGCTAGCTAGCTAGCTAGATAGATAGATAGATAGATAGATAGATAGATTATAGGTAGGTAGGTGGATGGATTGATAGGTGGATGGATAGATAGTTTATAGGTAGGTGGATGGATAGAGATTATTGGTAGGTAGATAGATAGATAGATAGATAGATAGATAGATAGATAGATAGATAGATAGATAGATAGATAGATTATAGGTTGGATGGATGGATATAGATAGATGGATTATAGGTAGGTAGGTAGATGGATTGTTGGATGGATAGATAAATTATAGGTAAGTAGATGGACGCATGGATGGATAGATAAACCTAGATAGATAGATGGAGGGAGGGATGAAGGGTAGAGATAGATGATAAATAAGGAGATGATAGATGATAGGTATAGAGATCAGAAACCTAAAATATTTAAAATAAAATTATATGTTGGTAGATACATGTAAGATAGATAGATTATAGGTAGGTAGATGGATAGATAGCTAGATGGATGGATAGGTAGGCGGATGGATGGATAGATTATAGGTAGGTGGATGGATGGATGGATAGAGATGATAGATAGATAGATAGATAGATAGATAGATTGATTGATTATAGGTAGGTAGGTTGATGGATGGATGGATGGATAGATATAGATGGATAGATTATATGTAGGTGGATGGATGGATGGATAGATAGACCTAGATAGAGGGAGGGAGGGAGGGAGGGAGGGAGGGAGGGATGAAGGGTAGAGATAGATGATAAATAGGGAGACATAGACAGATGATAGATGATAGGTGTAGAGATCAGAAATTTAAAATATTTAAAATAAAATTTTATGTTGGTAGATACGTGTAAGATAGATAGATAGATAGATACCTGTAGATAGATAGATAGATAGATAGATAGATAGATAGATAGATAGATAGATAGATAGATAGATAGATAGATAGATAGATAGATAGATATGATTGGATTTCATCCATGATGCAGGTCTAATTGTTTATGTCATCACATTACAAAAAAGATGTTGAGATTTTGGAAAAAGTGCACTCATTCTGTTCAAAGGTGGGAAGCTCAAAATTCTCCCTATGATTAAAAATACAGGTAATCCTCAACTTACAACAGTCCGTTTAATGACCGTTCAAAGTTATAACAGCAATGAAAAAAATTGGCTTACAGTTTTTCACACTTAGGATTGTTGCAGCATCATCGTGGTCCCGTGATCAAATTTGGAACGCTTGGCAACTGGTTCTTATTTACGACGGTCGCAGCACCCCCCAGGGTCACGTGATCCCCTTTTGCGACCTTCAGAAAAGCAAAGTCAATGGGGGAAGCCAGATTCACTTAACAACCATGTGACTGACTTAACGACTGCAGTGATTCTCTTCACAACTGTGGCAAGGAAGGTCGTAAAATGGGGGGCAAAACTCACTTATCCAGTGTCTCACTTAGCAGCAGAAACTTTGAGCTCACTTGTGGTCGTAGGTTGAGGACTACCTGTACAACCATTTTTTTTTGTTTTCCCAGTTGAGTTGCTGTTTTTCTTCTTAGTTTTAAAGAGGCACACATATAGGAAGAAGGGTAACAGGAGGCTATGTGCCCAGATGCCAGTCTCCCATGTGGCTTGTTTGATGCCTGCCTGGCATGTGATCCGAGCTTGGCTGTTCCAATTTGCGTGCCAGGGAGACGGGCTCAGCCTGGAAACAGCAGTTTATTTAATTAGGTCAATCCCATCCGGAGGGAAGAGGGAAGGAAGCCGGGAAACCGGTTGGGCAATGCCAAAGTCAATTATTTCCCGGGCTTTGTTTTTCCTCTCCTTTGCCAACTCCTGGGTAAGCAAAGGAAAACATCCTTTTCATAGCCGGGAGCAAGTTTGCAGTGGGTGTGGAGGCCACCAGGAGAAGCCATTATCAATTTTGCACCCTTGGGGTCCGTGAGCAGCAAGGCAGCTCTCGCTACAGACATTGGTCGGGCCTAGATCGCTCATGGGCCAGGATTACCAGGAGGCTGGACTACATCTCCCATAATCTGCCAGATTCAAAGATGATTAGGGGACTGGAGGCTAAAACATAGAAGGAACGGCTGCTGGAATTGGGCATGTCTAGTTTAATGAAGAGAAGGACGGGGGGGGGGGGAGACATGATAGCAGTGTTCCAATATCACAGGGGCTGCCCCAAAGAAGAGGGAGTCAAGCTATTCTCCAAGGCGCCTGAAGGCAGGACAAGAAGCAATCAAGGAGAGAAGCAACGTAGAACTAAGGAGAAACTTCTGACAGTTGGAACAATTAACCTCCAGAAGCGGTGAATGCTCCAACACTGGAAGTTTTTAAGAAGAGACTGGACAGCCATTTGTCTGAGATGGTATAGGGTTTCCTTCCTGAGTAGGGGATTGGACTTGATGACCTCCAAGATCCCTTCCAATTTTATTATTATTTTGGATCATTGCACAGTCAGCCAGATGTTCAGATTGGATTTGGCATTTTGTCTACCTATTGAGTCCTTCCCAAGGTCCTGGGATAGGCAGATGTGGATGTTTGATGGTATTATAGATATCGTCGCAGGACTGAAGCAGTTCCTAGTAAGGCCGCCTTTTGCAATTGACTAATAGCGAATTTGTCAATGCCAATGGTGTTCAAGTGGTGCTCCAGTTGTTTTGGGATTGCACCCAAGGAGCCTATGACTAATGGTACTACCCTTGCTTGCTTTTGCCACAGTCTTTCTATTTCTATTTGTAGGTCTTTGTATTTTGTTATCTTCTCCAGTTCTTTCTCTTCTATTCTGCTATCTCCAGGCACTGCCACGTCCACTATCCAGACTTTTTTGTCTTTCTTATCGACAATTGTTAAGTCTGGGGTGTTATGTTGCAGGTGCTTGTCTGTTTGAATTCTGAAGTCCCAGAGCAGTTTAATTTTATCATTTTCTATGACTTTCTCTATTTTATGATCCCACCAGTTTTTGCTTACAGGCAAATGATATTTTTTGCAGATCTTCCAATGCACCATTGTTGCTACTTTGTCATGCCGCTGCTTGTATCAGTCTGTGCAATCTTCTTGCAACAGCTTACCAAGTGGTCCACTGTTTCTTCAGCTTCTTTGCATAGGCGGCACTTACTGTCTGTTGCTGTCTTCTCAATTTTGACTTTGTATGCATTTGTCCTTAAGGCTTGGTCTTGTGCAGCCAGAATTAGTCCCTCGGTCTCTTTCTTCAATTTTCCTGCTCTTAGCCATTGCCAGGTTTTATTATTATCTGCTTTCCCAGCTATTTTTTTAATGTATTGGCCATGTAGTGCTTTGTCTTCCCATGCCTCTATTCTGTTCTTCATTTGGTCTTTCTTGTAGGCCAGTTTGGTCTCTCCAGTAGTTAGTAAGCCTTCCTGATATACTAATATAATAATTTCATTATTATAGATTCAACCTAAGCACTAGGGGGGGGAATCCAATCTTCTTGAGGCTACCGGGTTGGGAAAGGCAAGGCCTACATACCCTACTTGGGGCAGAAAGGGTAGGCTTCTCTGACTGGCCTCCCTCACAGGGGGTGTTGTGCACCAGGGGCAGAGAGTGCCTGCTCTTCTGCCTGCATGGGGTGCACCCCTTCCTTATAATTACACGCCATAAGGTTGGGGTCAACTTTTAGCAGCCACTCAGATAGTCCTCAACTTATGACCACAATTAAGCCCAAGGATTTGTTGCTAAATGAGGCATTTAAGTGACTTTTGCCCCTTTTACGACGTTCCTTGCCACAGTTATTGCGTGAACTATTGCAGTTGTTAAGTTAGTAATACCGTTGTTAAGTGAATCTGGCTTCCCGCATTGACTTTGTCAGAAGGTTGCAAAAGGGGATCACGTGACCCCATCATAAATATGAACCAGGGGCCGAGCATCCAAATGTAAATCACCTGACCACAGGGACGTTGCAATGGTCATAAGTGTGAAAAAAATTGTCACTTTTTCCAGTGCCGTTGTAACTTTGAACACTAAACAAACTGTTGTAAGTCGGGGACCACCTGTAGATTGTACTGCCCCCTGAAAATGCTGCTTTGCAAAACCAGGGCTTCCAAGCATGTGCAGAGTTCCCCCAAGACGGTCCGCCCCCTCCGCCTCTCCTTCAGCCCCGCCCTTTGCCCACCCTGCCGCTCTCCCCCCCCACCAACGCCGCTTCTGCCCAATCCCGTCCTCTTTCGCCTCAACCGCTCCCGCCCCCTTCTTCCCTCCGCGGGCTCCGATTGGTCGGCGGTCAGGGAGCGCGAGTCGCGCGTGCCGACCCGCCGCCAGCCAATCAGCCGCTCCGTCCGGGCGGCGGCGGCGCCGAAACGGCAGCGGCGCGGACCAATGAGGCGCCGCCAAGCGCGGATCCCGCCCTCCTTCCCCTTCAGGCCGGCGGCCACGCCCCTCCCGGGTTGCCTGGCGAAGCCTGAGGCCTGGCCGGGGCCTTGCTCGCCCGTCGCCGCGATGCCGCACGGCTTCAAGGCTGGAGACCTGGTGTTCGCCAAGATGAAGGGCTACCCGCACTGGCCGGCCCGGGTGGGTGAGAAAGCCGCGAGGGAAACGCGGACCGGTGGACGGGCGGGCGGGCGGGCGAGCGGCGGGGGTGGAATGGGAAGAGCCGTCGCCTAGCAACCGCGCCCTCCCCCTCCCTCGTGGCGGGGGGCGTCTCCCCTCTCCCTCCCTCGGAGCGAGCCCTCCACGTGACTCCTTCGCGGGGGGGGGCAACCCCTTCTGCTCCATGGGGAGCTCTGATAAAAGTGGGAGGGGGGAGCTTTGGGGCTCTGCCCCCCCCCGTTGGCAGCAGGAGGGGAGGGGCGGGTGGCCCCCCCCTTTTTTGCAAACCTGCAGGCTGTTCTGCAAACCCCGTGAAGAGCCTGCACGCTTCGTGCGGGGGTGCAATAAGGGAAGGCGTGGGAACGCGTCTCTTCGGCGTGCATTCTCGGCCACTCGTGTTTTCCGTGCGAGGATGCAAAGATCCCCCCCCCCGTGGATGTGCGTGCAGGTGCCGGATGCGGTTGCTCGCTCTTGTGCCCTGTGGTTGTGTCCATGTTTGTGCAGTTTATGGGGGGGGGGGTTGCACCTATACTAGTATATGGAGTTCTTTATATGGGTGCAGGTGTGGGTGTTAACAGCCCGTTATTTGGTGTAGTGGTTAGGATGCTGGCCTAGAAACCAGGAAATGGTGAGTTCTAGTTCTGCCTTAGGCGTGGAAGGCAACTGGGTGACTTTGGGTCAGTCACCAGGCGATGGTGAGTTCTAGTTCCAGCTGTGGCATGAAAGCCAACTAGATAACTTTGGGCCAGTCACCAGGAGACGGTGAGTTCTAGTTCTGCCTTAGGCATGAAAGCCAGCTGGGTGACTTTGGGCCAGTCACCAGGAGACGGTGAATTCTAGTTCCAGTTGTGGCATGAAAGCCAACTAGATGACTTTGGTCCATTCACCAGGAGACGGTGAGTTCTAGTTCCAGCTGTGGCATGAAAGCCAACTAGATGACTTTGGTCCATTCACCAGGAGACGGTGAGTTCTAGTTCCAGCTGTGGCATGAAAGCCAACTAGATGACTTTGGTCCATTCACCAGGAGACGGTGAGTTCTAGTTCCAGCTGTGGCATGAAAGCCAACTGGGTGACTTTGGGCCAATCGCCAGGAGGTAGTGAGTTCTAGGTCTGCCTTAGGCATGAAAGGCAACTGGGTGACTTTCGGCCAATCACAGGGAGATGGTGAGTTCTAGTTCCAGCTGTGGCATGAAAGCCAACTAGATAACTTTGGGGCAGTCACCAAAGTGAGTTCTAGTTCTGCCTTAGGCATGAAAGCCAGCTGGGTGACTTTGGACCAATCACCAGGAGACGGTGAATTCTAGTTCCAGTTGTGGCATGAAAGCCAACTAGATGACTTTGGTCCATTCACCAGGAGACGGTGAGTTCTGGTTCCAGCTGTGGCATGAAAGCCAACTAGGTGACTTTGGGCCATTCACCAGGAGATGGTGAATTATAGTTCTGCATTAGTCATGAAAGTCAACTGGGTGACTTTGGGCCAATCGCCAGGAGACGGTGAGTTCTACTCCCGCCTTAGGCATGAAAGGCAACTGGCTGTGCATGTTTGTGCAGTTTATAGGAAGTTTGCATATATAGTATATAAAGAGTTGGGCCAGTCACCAGGAGATGGTGAATTCTAGTAATGCCTTAGGCACGAGAGCAATTGTGTGACTTTGGGCCAATCACCAAGAGACTGAGTTCTCGTCCTGCCTTAAGCATGAAAGCCAATTGGCTGACTTTGGGCCAATCACCTGGAAATTGTGAGTTCTAGTTCTACCTTAGGCACAAAAGTCACCCAGGCAGATTTTGGTCAGTCACCAGGAGATGGTGAATTCTAGTGCTGCCTTAGGCATCAAAAGCAGCTGGGTGACTTTGAGCCAGTCCCTCAGCCCAACCCACCTCACAGGGTTGTTATGGGGAAAAATAAGAGGAAGGACTATTATGTATATTTGCCATCTTGAGTTACTTATAAAGTCATAATGGCAGGATAAACATCATATACTATATACATTATACTGTGTATTGATTGACGCACACAAAATATATACAGTGTATGTGTCTGTATATACAAAGAGAATATATATGATGCCCAGCACTTCATAAAAGCTACAGGCTGCTCCTGGCCCAAGCATCAGGCCAGCGTTGACCCCCACGAAGACAGTCAACGGCTCCTGCTTGACCGTGGAAGAGTCATCTGCTTCTATGTCCAGGAGTAGCATAGTCCATAGTCTTGTTATCAAAGAATTGTTGACTTTCTCTTGCGTTACCCCATGATTTAATCAAGAGGAGTTAGGCTTGAACGTTTGGGAGCACTTTAGGCTTTTGTCAGTCTTCTGGAAGTTACATCTGAATACAGAATAACAGAATTGGAAGGGACCTTGGGAGATCTTCTAGTCTAACCCCTGCTCAAGCAGAAGACCCTTCACCATTCCATGAATGGCTGCCCAATCTCGTATCTGTTCAACAGTGTGCCAAAAAAGACAACAAACCATCTTAGCTATTCTGTTTTTTTTACCCAAGAAAGCAGAAAGCTACAAAAGGATGTTTTTAATCCACTGGGCTCCTCTGTTTGCTATCATTGGAACTGTTTCTTATCATGATCTTGGGTTTTATTTACGATTGTTCCTGCCGTCACGCTCCATGAGATTTTCACAGGTTGTGAGTTTTAAATGCACACACGCACACACTGTGTCTGCCCCACTTCTCTTCCCAAAGTCTTAGGCCAAACAATCAATACGGTAATAAAAGCATCTTGCTAACAAATGCTGCAATGAATTAGCACACCTCTTCCCTGAAATAACCATAGTTGTCTGAGGTTTAATGTTTTCCAGTTGATGCCAGAGGTTTTGAGCAAGGAATAGCTTGCTTTAGGGCAGTGTTTCTCAACCTTGACAATTTTAAGGCATGTGGACTTCAACTCCCAGAATTCCACAGCCAGCAATGCTGGCTGTGGAATTCTGGGAGTTGAAGTCCACATGCCTTAAAATTGTCAAGGTTGAGAAACACTGCTTTAGGGGGAAAAAAAATCTGTCTTCCTCTTGCATCCCCAGTTTTGTATAAAATTGGCCCTGTAGGCTGGTTGTTATTTTCAGTTTGATTATTTCGAATTCCCACTCCTTCTAGCACTGACGATGTTACCTAATTTGGTAATGAAATGGCTGCAAGAAAACCATGAAGCTCTGAGCGCATCAACAATTGCACCCAGTGTTGAAAGCTCTTTTTAAATTTGTTTTAAAAGTTGTATTGGGAACTGCCTTAGGTTGGTATTTAGAATAAAGAATCACAGTTGGAAGGGACCTTGGAGTCTTCTAGTCCAGGCTTTTCAACCAGTGGTACAGGTACCACCTGTGGCACATTGGCATCTGGCAGGTGGTACGCGGCCATCCTAGAAAAGTGGTAGTGGGGGAGGGGAATGAGCTGGACCGGTGGCAGAACCACACAAGCCTGAGCGAGAGACAGCTGGAGCTTCAGGGCTGCCAGAACTCAGTGGAAGCACCAGGATCAGTGCCGCTTTCCAGCTGATTGACGCTTCTTCGGGGCTGTCAGAGCTCAGTGGAAGCGCCAAGATCAGCGCCAGTCTCCAGCTGGAGCTTGGCACTGATCCTGGTGCTTCTGCTGAGCCCAGAAGAAGCGCCAATCAGCTGGAATGTTGCAGCCTCTCCAGGGTCTTGTGATTTACATTCAGATGCTTGGCCACTGATTCATATTTATGACGGTCACAGTGTCCCAGGGTCATGTGAAGTGACCAAAACCTGCTGCAACCACCCAGCAGACGGGGGGAATAAAAACCAAACACCCCCCCCCACCCCACCTCCGCTGCCAATCCTCAAGAGAAATGCTTACAATAATGAAAACCTCAGACAGGAGGAAGAGCGCCACCAGGCGGGCAGGCAGGTGTCTTGCTCAGCTGTGGCCTGGGGGGGCACTTTTTTCAGTGCCATTGTAACTTCGAACAGTCACTAAGCGAACTGTTGTAAGTCGAGGACTACCTGTACTTCATCACTTTTTTCCTTTTTTTGGGGGGGGGGGTCATCAAGTTTTTGACCCCTTGCTAGGCGACTGGTGGTCCTCGGATGTTGCCATACCCTCAAAGTGGTACAATGGGTGAAAAGCCTGAAAAGCCCTGTTCTAGTCCAACCCCTTGCTCAAGCAGGCGACCCAATGCCATTCCAGACAAACGCTTGTCCAATTTTTTAAAAGCCTCCAGAAGCACCCGCAACTTCTGGAGGCAAGTGGTTCCACTGATTAATTGAATGATTGATTGAGGGCGTTTTAAGTTAAATCCATCTCGCACACCTTGCAACGCGCCCAGAGCTGTCTCTTGCACCCAGGACTGGTCCTTTGCAGGGGCCCTGCTAGCTACCTCTCGCGCGTTTGAAATGAGTAGCCTTTAAACACACATCTCATCACAATTACTTATCCGCTTAATTGTCAAGCCGTATGCTCCCCACTTAATTAGTCTGCTAATCATCCTGTCAAATGCTCCATCGCAGGCTAAGTATCCATCACAGGTTTGCAGCGTTTTCCTCACAGTAGTGAGAAAAAAGAGTAATTGTTGGACATTTGGACTGGCTTGGGGTAATTACTAGGCTGATCTGAGGATTTCTGCTCCAGAATCTCGTTGAGGATCTTTTCTCAGCTAGTTCTCCGGATTTTTGCTTTCCTCCTTTTGAAAAAAAAAAATAGGGACAATAGGCACCACTTTTTCCAGGAGGTTTCAAATGCTGGACCGGCGTTTCCTCAAAACTTGATGGTTTGGAGATGAGGGGACTTCAACTCCCAGAATTCCCCAGCCAGCAAAACTGGGAATGGAAGTCCCCCCCCCCCAGCTTCAACCCGTCAAGGTTGAGAAACAGTGTGCTAGACCAGTGGTTCTTAACCTGGGCGATATCGCCCCCCCAGGCGCCGATTTCATTTTTCAGGGGGGCGACGGAACGAAAAGGGGGGTGATATGGGGGCGATGGAGCGAGAAGTTTTGGGGACACTTTTGAGACTTTTTCGTA